TTCATTCATCTGTCCAAATACTGATCTCTAACCCATTCATACCATGCTAAATTCCGAACATCATATTTTTATTTTATAGATAATTTTTGATTATTAACATTTTATACACAAATATTCATCTGTTAACGAGCATTTCAAACATATTTTAGCACGGAAATCGTTGTTATTACCAATCTCACGTGTTTGACAAACACCAGCACAAGCCCACAACATTTTATCGTGCTGTCGCTGGCAAGAGCTTTCAGCACCATATAGGTGACAATCGGACATTAGCTTAGTGTGCCACCTCTAGTTTTTAAAGAGGGCACTCCAGAAATTACTAAAATGACCACCGACCCTAGGACCTGACGAATCTCTCGGTGTAATTATCATGTTGACAGATGCCGTGTAATACCTGTTATTCGTGGTTGCAGTCAGCAGGCAGGGTAGCATTTTTAACACTTCTCCAGAAAGTTACAGTGTCACATATACGTGCAATTTTCATAGACATTTTTATACATATACAGTAAGACCCCGCTTGACGCTGTTTCGTTTAGCGCTGTTTCGGTTTAGCGCTCTTTTATTTCAACCCGGGGATTCCACGAAATCGCTCGCAGCATACGGGGATTCCCCGAAATATTATGCAGCGATAGGTTTCAAATACATATCCGAAAGAGTGTACTTGTATTTCTTGTTTGGTGCGGTATTGTACAGACATATTTTGAAGGGGTAAATGTGGAAGATGTCGAAGAAATAATTTAAGAAGCAGCGGCTAGTCTTTCTAATGATGAGCTCAAGGAATTAACTGAACAAGAAGAAAACAAAAAATGTTGACAGCAGTGATTCAGAAAAGAAGAGCAAAAAGAACTTTCGATGGCGTTTGTAAAAAGGAGTTTGTCTACCATAACTGAAATAATGGATCAATTCATTGAAAATGATCCGAATTTTGACAGGAGCTCAAAAGTAAGGGTGGTGTTAGAGATGCTCTATCCGTTTATGAAGAACTTTTAAGAGAAACAACCCAAAAGAAAAAGGCAAACAACATTAGATGCTTTTGTCACAAAAAGGCAGAACACTGAAAAAACGCGGAAGGCTAACTAAATATGACTGACTGAGAATTTTATTTGTTTTTTTTTAAGAATATTCGTTTTGTTATTTATATTTTGTTTTTATTTTTGCAAGAAATAATAATGTGGTATTAATTTAAGAAATAAATGTTTGGTTTTATTTTTATTAAAAAACATACTTTTTAAAATTTAATACCTAACCAATTTCCTAGCCATCTTCCCCTAACCCCACTATTTACATGTAAAGATAGCCTCGTTTAGCGCTGTTTCGCATTACGCTCTACTTTGATAGAACGTATCCCCCGCATTAAGCGGGGTCTTACTGTATAATACTATATATTTTCGATGCTAGGATGTTAAATACAGCTGTTTGTTATGACCTACTTAGCTTAGAGTTGCATTTGCTATTTGTTGGATATTACTAAAGATTCATTTTACTAAACAGTTGCAAGAAGTTGCTTTTCAAAAGGGTTAACAGAGCAAATACAAAATTTACACTTGCACAAGGTTAATAGATCACGTTATGAATTAAATACAAAATTCACACTTTTATACAAACAAATAGTTACAATAGAATCGATTAAATTCAATATACTCAAATGACCAAAGCAAATGCACTTAATATAAAACTCTAGCTATATACATTAGAAGTTAGATAATTGTTGAATAGAGAATAATAAATTTACCTACAGGCTTTGCAGAGGATAACATGCCTACTTTCTTTAAAACAAATAATATAGGGAAAACTATTGCAATATATTCCCCATAATACTGCTACGGTATTTTCTTCCTTCACGTTCGTACGGGGTTCCTGAGCATTTGGAGTGAGTAATGACAATACTACATGATGAAGTATCAAAACATACTTTATATAACCAGTACTAATCAGGACAGCTCCAAAATCACGCTACAGTCGTCGAAGAACTACTATAAACACGCTGACACAATCAGCGACACAGTTTTCACACTATCAGGTTATCACGGTGGAGACAGCTTCACTGGAAAGCACCAGAGTACGCTCCCGATTCTGCTCGGTCGTTCTCGGAACTCCACGTACTCTCGAGACTCTTTACGCTACAATTCGCGATTCACTCGACGACACACAGAGTACAGCTCCCGAATCTTCGGTTCAGTCGTTCCCGGAGCTCAACACGCTCTCTCGACGATGCACTAACTGCGATACACTACGAGACACTTTCGGTGCACTCGACGACCCACTCGGCACTCGCTGCCAACTCGATCGTCTCCGCACGGACTAACCAGATGAGACACACTCTCGATACTAACTAAATCTCCGCGTCCAGAGGGCCCACACAGCCCCCGGCCGGTGCTCGAGAACATTCCAGGTCTAACCGGCAATTCGTTCCAGAAGGCCTTCCACCCGTCCATGGCACATCGCCAACCCCGCCTCCAAACGGGCGACCTCCCGCCAAATGTGGCAACCCCGCCTTATCCTGCCATTCTATGTTAACCCCAAAACTGCTTTGCGGGGAAGCCATCCCACCGCGCCTGTACATTTCGTAACAATACAATAAATATACTACTGATTACATAGAAAGAGAGCCCCCCGGGAGGACAGGTCCGAGGATCTCTCACCCCTCGTAATTTACTACCATTCTTCGAGAGAACTTTCGGCTTGCCGCATATTTAGAAAGCTCCCATGCCTCACAGACACTATACATTTACAAACATCCGTGCCTTCTCCAGGACTCGAACCCGGGCTTTTGGGTACGGCAATCGGCGCCGTTAGCCACTATCCTGGTTGGGCGGCGCACTGAAATGGAAATACTTCTAGATTCTTATAAAGTCTTGTAGATTGCCTTAAATACTTAAAAATGACAAAACGTTGTTTAGTAAGAAACACAGTCATAGAATGTTTGTAACAATGAGATTATTGGCTTGTTTATTGTATCATCAATTATTAGTTAAACCATTTCATAACGAAAAAGATGCCTGTGATGGTGTAGTGGTAAATTGCCTATATAACAACTTTCTAGAACACAGAATCTTGCAATCGTTTTGTAGAGGAGACAATTTTATTTGACTGAAGAAGAACTTCGATTTACCAGAAACTCCGATTTACCACTTTGTAACCAGAAATAGCTCACTGATAAATTAATTGTTCAGGCACAGAAGAAAAATATTAAGAATTTTTATTCATACTTTTTTGGTACTATAGTCAGAAATTCTTTACTTAATTACTGACGATAATGAACCTTCCCACATGGTGTACTAGATTTCAGATATACTGGAAGATGGGAGTGTGGGGCAGTTACGAAAAATCCTGCTTATTTAACAGGTTTAAACTTATCGCAACTTTAACAGGACATCCTGGGGATATTTTGCCTTAGGAGCATACATACTGGTAATGCCGTGTAGTGAGTTTTAATGGCCTAGAGATGGGAAAAGTAATTGCTTTATGGGATCACATCAAAGCTATTAGGTCACTGAACTGAAACGGTTCTTTTCTGAGACTCATCACTCGCTAACAACTTGATGAATAAAATCAGGAACTAGGAGTGAATCAAGAGCGGAGTGCGAGAATGCAGCAAATAACGGAAGGAATCAAACGAGGAGTTGGACACAGAGAACCGATTTAATCGAACCGTTTCTCTCTGGAATGAAATCTTTTAATTGCAGATTTGAGATTCTCTAAACCTCCTTTTTACGTAAAACTAACGATAAAATTCTTGAATAAAAGAATGCTGAAAAGTTGGGAAAGGATAAAAACTGGCATTTAACGTGGAAGAAGGAACATTTCCTTCTTTCCTAAAAAAAAAAAAAAAAAAAAAAAAAAAATAATTTGGCTAATCTTTGGAATATGGTAACAGGTAGTTTGGCGACATTTTGGTAAGGCGATAAAGGTTACTAGCTAGGACTTTAGCAGTGTACATGGATAAAGTCAAGAGTGTGCGCAATGCCATTTTTGTGCAATTCTAGGATGTTTTTTAAGTGAAAATAGGTCGACGTGAACATGGATACCGTGTATGTGCAATTCTTAAAAACGCGCCAAGCAGTTTGCGATTCTACACTTTCTCCCAATTTTGCACCTAATCTTCGTCTTTGTTAAGCACTTTTGTTCCATAAAAGTTCTAGCATAAGCGTAATTCGGCTAGCAGGTTGTTGAGGAAAAAAAAACATGCCTTTACTTCGTGAAAACAAAATGGCGTCCAAAACAAAAACTAGCAGGTTGCTGTAGCAGGGTTGGTCGCCAAAAAATCGCCAAGTTACCATAATCCAAAGATTAACCTTTAATTTTCCTGGCAGGCTTCCAAAAATAGTTTTGGGTGTAGTAATTATAAAGGAGCTACCGCTCAGTTTTGTCGAATCACAGTTCATTCACTCGGTAAAGTGAGCAATCTTTTAATTAATTCATGAGCGGCTAGTCCATCTTTAGTTTAACCGCCTTGGTCTACCTAATGTATTACAGTTGAATTTTTATTTGAAAAGTTGTGTATATGTGTGTGTGTCTGTGATTATGGCAAAGCTTCGAGGGCTATCTGTCTAAGAGGAGGGATGCCTTCGTGGAGGACTTTCTAAGGGAAACTGGCTCGTATACACGTTACACATGGGGAAAACTACGAAAACGCCCATGCAGCCAAGCCCGTTCGCGGGATTCGAACCTCGGATCGAACTACCAGTGTTCAGCGACTTTACCGCTCGGCCGCTGGTGGGCGAAAAGTTGTGTATGCATTGGACGAACACATTGCAAATACAAAATTAGAATTTGAAAAATTGCATATGTATATTATACAGCATTTGGCTTAAAAGTTTAAAAAAGGATGAATTTTCAAATTGTAGCAAATATGATTTTAATGATATCTCTTTATGCTTTCCTTTTTTCATTCAACGCACCTAAATGTAGTCCTTTTTTCTTGTTTTAGTCCTTCTCTTTTGTTTTATTCAAGCATGTTACGTACATATTTACGTTCATTTCAAAAATAATAAAGCAGCTTTCAGACAACACATCTTATTTATTCGAGTTTCTAACAATAAAACAATCACATTACAAATATAAATTAATTGTAAATGGTATAAGTTAATAAACTGTTCGCTTCCACCGGATATATACAGCACATCAGGAGTGTCCATTTACGCGAATGAATAATGCGAATAGTTAGGAATTAGGATACTAGCATTTCGTGGAATGCCGAACACGTAAATCTCACCGTCTGTTGACTCGCATGTAAGCGATGCCAAACACACAAACGCAGCCAACAATAATGCCGACAAGCAGGCATAGGAAGGCGATTCCCCCTGCGTAACCTGAAAATAGAAAAAGTTTTCAGAACAAAATATTAAGAAAATCAAGATGTTGCATTTATATTAAATCAAGAAGAACATGGTAAAATGGAAACATAATCTACTGAATTTACTGAACAGAATTTGTAGTTCATAATTTTATTTAATTGTTCAAAGGTTCAGTCCTTTCAGAAAAGTTACCGGTCAAAACACCGCGAAAGAAAACATGACAGAGGAACTTACGCAAAGGGAAAAAAATCGTCGTACAATACATCGTGGTAGAAAGGAAAAAAAAAAAAAAAAAAAGCAAGAAGAAAATTTGCAGTTTTAAAAAAAAACATCGCGGTAGAAAACATCGTAGTAAAAAATACAAAAAAATCAAGTTACAAAAACATCGCGAAAGTATGGATTTTATGCGTCTGAGTCGTACAGATTTCTGCGAAGCATTTTTTTGCGAGTACGTACAATGAACTCTGTTTAAGATGACCGCTAACGATTCCAGACGGATCTTCTTAGAGAGGGATGTTTAACCTTTTGACTACTATTTAAAAAACATTTATTTTACATCGTTTCTTATCCAAGCGAACAAAATATGTCATAAATAAGGTAAATTTAGCATTTAGGATTTTTCTGATAAGCGGTTTTCAAGCCAAAGGCTGGGACACATATGTCCCAGCCGTATATGGGATACATATGTCCCATATACGGCTGTCCCATATGCGGATACATATGTCCGCATATGGTATACATATGTCCCACACGTAGCGATCGACTTATTATAAGCACACTTATTATTCTGGGAAACTTTATATATGAAATAGATTTTACATCGTATGGTACAGGGTATAGCCTTCTTGGCATAATCCAACATTACAACATTTGGGTAACTCATACTTCTTCTTTTCCCTGTGTTCATTTGTGTATAACGAGTACAGCGGCGTCTTGATTTTTCAGTTATTGGAAGATGATTCCCAACATTCAGGAGATTCTAAATACTTTTTAACCTAGCAGTAATTTTTAAACTTTTAGTGGGACATATATGTCTCGTTAGAAGTCAAAGGATTTATGAAGTTGTTAGTTTATGTTCTTAGAAATACTAGTTACTTTCAGAGGGGGTCGTCTTGGAGAGTTGGTCGCGATGACAGGTTTCACTGCATTTTATTTGGTAGACAAACTATAAAATACAATTTCTTTTCTCTGTGAATTTCAGACGTTGTTTCCTGTATAGTCAAAATAACACATCAGTACCTTTTCAAATCCTTGTTTATTTCATTTATATATCAGTAGTTTTGATACTCAGTTTTTCATATTTTTATGCTGTTTCTATGGCAGATTTATGAATAATAACAACTAATCGTTCAAAAATTATTGCTGATTTCCTATGATTTTCCTTTGACACCTTGTTATTTAAAAGGTTTTAAATATGATGTTTGAAGTTTTCAGTTTGTTTGATTGGTTTATAACTATTTAATAAATATTGTGTTCATATTTTTTTTTTAAAAATGCAACAAATGTACGTAAATAGCAATAAACAGTGAAAGCCACTTTCGGTTTCAGATTATTTTGGTCTTCTGTGGAGGTGGCCGTCTAAGAGAAGTGATATTTAGAAACAATGTTTATTTATAACTTCCGAAATATTGGTCATCTTAAAAGGTTAGTCTTTTTTTTTTAAAAAATCACGAAAAGCATTTACTTGCACCCGATGAATAACTTTTACTTTTTCATTTGTAAAAATCATCAAATTGCGCCAAGGTGGCTGCGTTAATATGTAAGTACGGGGACCTTTAAACTGCGGAAGGAAGTAAGAAGTAACAAAACTTACCTGTAGTATATGGCCGAGGAGCGTACTGTGCTTCAGCTGTAAATATATAAATGAAATTTTGTTTTAGAAACAGATTTTATATAAACAAATTGCAAACTGGAAACTTCAGACTCAACTCAAAACAGAATTAACTATAAAAACTTATTAACTATTACAACTATTAAAAATTATAAATGTTGTACAATTTAAAATATATGAAAACAGTTACAAAAAATTAAAAATATTACGAAATTTAAAAAAAAAATTACAATGTACTGAAACTCCTGTTTGTTGAATGAAAGAATTTTTAACGAACAGTTATGATAGGCTTCCTAATTTAAGAATTAATACACAGAAATTCAGAGCAAGGAGTATAAAACTGTGCCTCTGAACTTCATTTAAAATGATTCTGATAGAAAATCACTAGTCCATAAACTTCTAATTTCACGACGGATTTCAACATTTGCGTGCAAGTTTTCAAAATGAAGTGAAAAGTCCATATAGATTGTTAAAATTAAATTTCGCTGAAATTATAGCAGCATATTTTGTTTCTTATGTGAAATTCTCACTGGTGCCGCCCCAACCGATATACTGGTTAGTGTCACTGCCATGCCGAAGGGCCTGGGTTCGAATCCCGGAGAAGGCATGGATGTTTGTAAGTGTATAGTGTCCGTGTGGGATGGGGACCGAGCCAAAAGTCCTCTCGAGAGTTTGATGGTAGGGAAAAAGGGGTGGGAGACCCTCGGACCCATCCGCCCCGGGGTGCCCTCCATCAAAATTGGGGGGGGGAACTGTGTTAAATCGCACCGTCACCTGTAAGGTGCTCAAGACTGTTGTCAACAATAGGCGTATCTTGCGCTCCTTGCCACGAAGACTTTCGTGGGTTTGGGCTGACTACAGGTCAAACGAGTGAGCATTAATAGTCAACAACAACAAGTTCTCACTGAGGAGAGCAAATCTTAAATACTTATTCATAAAAATCTGATGTGTACACCACATGACTTCCTTGTACGGAATATTAAATTATACGCATTTTTTCTTGCATTTTATTTAAACTTATTAGATTGAATTAAACCTACTTCGTCGACAGCGCATAAACCACAATAGAATAAATGCATTCTTTAAAATTCACTTTGTTTACCATAGCGACACTCTGGCACTAGGTTTACTTAACAGTATTATATTTCATTCATATTATAACTCAGAATGCACAAAATGTATATCATTTAAAGAATTATCTAATCGTTGCCACATGTTCTATTCAAATACTATAATAAAGCTAGCACTATGTATAAAAGAAATTAAGCAAAATAAAGCAAAAAAAGGAAACAGTTTTTCACAGACGATTGAGTATTTCTCATTTAATTAATTCAGTTGGCTGGATGCTCTCATATACAAATTACACAACCTGGGACTCCCAGGCTACATCACAAACATAATTAAATCCTACCTAACCGGTAGACACTTTCTCGTTCATGTTTCTGGTTCATTATCCACAAACCGGCCTATACGGGCTGGTGTTCCACAGGGATCCCTTCTGGGCCCTACCCTATTCAATATTTACGTGAATGACATCCCCACTACACACAACACAACACTAGCCATGTATGCAGACGACACAGCGATCCTTACGCAAAGTGCATTTGTTAGTTCAGCAATACAACAGCTACAACACCACATCCACTCGCTAGAGACTTGGCTGACCAAATGGAAAGTCAAAGTGAATGTCGACAAGACACATGTCATACTGTTTACTACTAAGATGTCATACTGTTTACTACTTTCCCGACTCACCTGCAAATGTATGGTGTGGACATTCCCTGGGTCAAGCAGGTCCCTTATCTTGGGGTGATCCTCAGTAAATTTCTTACATGGAACCCACACGTTACACATATTCTCAGGAAGTTTCGAGCTAGTAAAGCTTCACTCTTCCCCTTAATTGCTCGAAACAGTGTTCTATCTATTGATAATAAGTTGCTCATTTACAAAACCATGTTGCGTCCAATTCTTAGTTATGCATGCCTCGTCTGGGCATACTCGTGCTCTGCAAAAGTTTTGAGAAGGCAGTTACAAGCTGCCCAAAACGGGGTATTGCGTATGAATATGTAATGCCCCCTGGTACATTCGGAAATAGCCAAATTCGTAAAGAGTTAAAATAGAGGATCTTTGTGATTTTTATTGCCGCCTATCTAGGGCATTTTATGATAAACAGGAACTTCTGGACAATCCTGTGGTTGTTCAACTATTGTTATGATACTAGGGACCCCAATTTCAGTAAACGCCCAAGAGCGATCCTAATTGTTAGTAATATGTAATTTTGTATATGTGTTATGCAAATTGTTGCTCAGATTCTTTATCGTATATTGTTCTTTTTTCCTCCTGATTGCATTTTGTTTTTACTAGTGGCACTAAGGCGTCGCACTTCGTATTATGTTTCTCTTGTGTGTACATGTATTCTTCTGTGAAATAGTTGTTAAAAAATAGTTAATTATGTATGGATTAGTAATTAGGTACTTAAGGAAAAAAATATGTATTTGTTTAATTATTTAGCACATTCAGTTATATTTCTCATAATTCGAAACTTTTATCATGTTATTCGATGAGGGGTAGGGCTATGCGCCCAGGCACCCTGGTGGTTAAGCACCGCAGTTCAATGTATTAATTCAGTTCTTACTTCGCGAGAAGGCAAAAATACATAAAAACTCAGAATATCTATATTAAAAATTACGAAGTAAATCTTAAACACTTATTTCCTCGAAAAAATTCCAGAAAGAATTAAGCATGATTTAATTGGCAATAATAAATGAATGCGTTATCTTTGTTGTTGCGAAGCTTAGCTTTCTCTAGATTGGCAACAAATCCACTAGTCTCCTGTTTCAGATGTAAACATCAATGGCCGCCATTAAAAACAGGCTTAGCAGCAATTAAACAACTTTAATTGCTGATAATTCTAAAAATATTGCACACAGATTTACTAAAGGCATAAAATCCTTAACCGGAAGATAAAAACAACATAATTCAATCATTTTTAAAGCAAAACATGTACAATTTACAAACATATAAGAGTAAAGAAACTGAGATTACTGAGCCGGGTAATAGAGTAGATAGATATATAAATATATTTATATACGTTTGGCGCGGCTGATTGCAACCAAAATACGAGGTGTATATCTACATGTTATAGCAGTCCTATATACAAAATTTCAACGTTCTGAGGCTACTCGTTTTTGAGTTATGCGAGATACGTACGTACGCACGCATGTACGTACATACGTTCGTACAGACGCCACGAAAAATTCTCTTCAGAATTCATTTTAAAGCAGTTTTATAATTTTTTTGGAGGAAAAGAGTCTTTTATTCTGTCCTTACGTACAGATATCACGCAAAAACATCGTTAAATTGCATTCCATAGCGGTCAAAATGGATATTTTCGTTGAAATATGCTGCCTGAAACGTTTTGCGATTACAATACTTCCTTTTTACTTCGTACAAGGAAGTAAAAAAGGTTTCACGCCTTAATAACAGCAAAATTTTTTATATACTTTTTAGTCCAAAGGGGCTTTGTCCCTGAAGGACTATTGTTTTCGTTTTTCGATTTTGCGTGGAATCACTAAAAATGTACGTTTCACTTTTCAAACTGTTGCCACCGAATGTTAGAGTCCTGCATTATATTTGAAGAAATTAAATAAGGAAACATCTGCATAAATGTATGTCTGTTTCTCGCACTGTGATAAAACAACGGTACATTAGAGCCATCGAATTTTGAATGACGTAATCCTCCTACGAATATGGGCATGTGGAAGACCAAATTTTAAATTTGATCGCTTTCATATTTTGTAAAACTTTAACGAATTTTTGAGTAACAAACTCAACGATTTAAAAGCGAGTAATGAAAACACTCTACGGCGGGGGCGGGGGGGGGCTTTCTATCTCCAGCGGCCGCGGAACTGTGTATCGGAAATTCTAAAGATATGCTCATTTTAAAATTATTTTGCGACATTGCTGAACTGAATTTTATGGTTCAAGTGCAAAAAACATGATATTTAATAAATAAATAAAGGTAACACACAAAACGTTAAAAAAACGCCCATTTGGACGTAATTTAAAATCTGAAACCTTTCAGATTTCTGGGGGGGGGGTCTTATTGATTCTGTGATCTCCGTGAGATGTCGAAAAATTATATTAATCGGAATCCTTTGTAGTGTTGGCATTTAAAAGGGATTCAGATCGAAAGAAGCTCAAACTACTGTTTTTCTTTCCTTTTGTTTGTAGAAGAAATGCAGCAAATTTTTAACAGAAGCATATTAAATATAATAATGACACACTATTAGGGAAGAAGCGCATCTATTAGGAAGTTCCATCTATGGAATTATAATTTTAATTTAAGGTTATGATTCCATGGATGGAACGTTAAAGTGACAGTGCTGCTACGTATACTCCATAAAACAGAACCAATAATTCTCACTTGTCTTAACACTTATCTTGTTAAGTTTACCAACTTCACAACAAATAGTCACTGTTTCTTCCAACTCTACGTGTTAGAAGAAACAGTGAAAACTACGAAAAGAATATAGCCAACTCTACAAAAAGAATATAGCCAACTCTACGAAAAGAATATAGCCAACTCTACGAAAAGAATATAGCCTTAACGAGAAGAATATAGCCTTGTGTGAGCTGGCGTTCAAATGCAGAAATGAGTATGATAGGATGTTGCTCAAACACGCTTAGAGTGTTATGAACGCAAAAGAGAGGCCTTTTTTATACTGTGTAACAATGTAAGCTGAATCAGATCGTCAGATATTACCATCCAAGGTAAGTACGCAAACAAGGTCAGGCTCTTCGCAACGCTGACGCCATTTTCTTACAGAAGTGGGAGAAATGAAGACACAAATAAAATGAGAAAAAGTTTTTTTTTTTTTTTTTTGGATCAGACTGAAATGCTAATTGAACAAGTGGTATCATTGAGGGCATCACCGAAAATTGAAAGTTCAATCGAGCCCAAGAATTGTGAAAATTATGGTGAATTTTTTTTATACGCAGCTGTGAGGGCATTGTTCTAAGGCATACTGTACGTCAAGAACAGACCGTCAGTGTTCTCTGTTACGCCTCATTTTAAGAACTTAGCCCGTGATCTGCTTTGTAAAAGGAATGCTAAAATTTTATGCATTTAGATTCATCCTATTATTTTGCTCGATAACACTTGGGTGCATGCATCGCATAATGTGACGGATTTGTGCTCAGGTTTGGAGCTGAGATGTGCTTTGCCATCCACCATGTTTCCTGGGCTTAAATCCTTCTGACTATGCTTTAATTCCTAATGTAAAAGCACTACTGCATGGCATTCGCTTGCAAACTGTTCCAGAGATTCTCCAGGCAATAAATCGTTTCATTCGAGCTCTCAATAGAATAGGTTTAGTCCCAAGTATAATAGATCTTCTGTGCCGCTGCAATGGTTCTACACAGCCTTGATAATAATATTGAAGAATAGTGAAAGATTCACCCACGTATCCCTGTTGCGTCAGTTATAGCTAAATAGCTGCCATGATTAAAGTTACAACCCCAGTAATTTTATTAGCAATTATAATCTACCAAATAACGTTAAACTTACTTCTTAAGAAGTTTGTACAGACAGGATTATAGGAAGATTTCATCCTTGAAGGATCGCTGTCGAGCAAAGTGCAAGTTGTTGCAAGGATAGTACGATCTTGGCAGAAGTCGAAACCGTAGCAGGCGCCTTTCCCATAATCCACGCAAGACTTAGCGCACTCTTCTAGCGTAACGTTGCTTAAAGGAGGAAGCTTGGCACCAACGTAGCGTTTTTCTGGATTTTTCTTGAATTCTGTGCTAAATTTTCCTGAAAATATATTTCATTGGATTCAGACCATCATATTTTGAAATATGTAAAATGTATTTCTTTTTATTTTAAGCTTTACAACAACTATTGACTAATAATAATTTTAATTTAATTTAATGATAATTTTAATTTAATTTAATTTCTTTATCAGAAATACTCACGAGACAATAATTAATTAATTAATTAATTAATTAATTAATTAATTACTGTTGGCGTTCCAACAGATTAAACATAGTAATTTAATTTTATCACGTTCTTCCGAGGTCCCTTTTGAAAAGAATTAATCGAACCGATGTAAAATTTAAAAAAAAAAAAAAATAGATTTCATGTTTGGACAGCATTCGTTTAGATTTCATTAAAAAACGATGAAAAATAAATCAACGCAGTCGTTTCACCCAAGTTTTGCAACTGAATATTATATCGCAGCAGATGTAATTTAAACTCACTATTTTAGCTTGTACATACCTCAACCGGATAAAGACATTACATTTAGAGGCTAGTGACATTTTGCTTCAAAATGTTGGGACAATAATTAACGACTGTTTCAAAATGATCAAAATGCGGCGATAAAAACTTGATCAGTCGGTGATTTTCAATAATTTTTGAAAAGTTCTTCATGTTTCAAAAGAAATGCAGTTGTATATCTTCATCCAAGCCAAACGGGCTCTGAAGGAAAATTTAGTATTGCCTTTCTCGGCTGACAAAGCATTTAGTAAGCTTTTTAATCAAGTTCTGAAACAACACTCATAAAAAGAAAAGCTCCGTTAGGCTTAACTGAAGCTGTTAAAAATATAAAGAAATACTTAAAAAGTGTTAGCGTGTGCGGAGTTTTTAGCAGATTATTGTGATCAAAAGGAAACGTTAAAAAAATTAAAACGAATGTTCCTAACACATAATGTGATATTCCGTGATGTGAAATTAAACTAAGTACTCCATCTCACAGCTAACAAGAATTTTGTTAATTTTTGGCATGTTATCGTCCTTTACAACTATTTCACAAACGCAAGTCAAATTAAAATTAAATAAACGTTTATTTGTCCTCACTTGCAAGTAAAATCACAACCTACACAGACACACATACCCCTCCCAAAAAGGAAGGGGGACTTGCATTGTCGAAAAACAAATATTTGAATATAAGGCGACTTGCTGTGGTCGCTAAGTTGAAAATTATTATAACAATTTATGAACTCAAAATTAAACACCTGGTAAGCTATACATTATTTTTAAATTCGTAAAGTACTTTTTACAGCGCAGCGATTAATTAGTTGTAATCATTCACAAACAAAGTGGGAACAATGCTCGGCCAGACACAGTGGCCGCATGGCAAACACTTGAGTAGTCTTAGGATTTATATTCATTTCATCTCACTAATAGTCGAGTGGTTAGGACCGCTGAATAATATTATTTCGATCCGGTCTCGAATCCAGGCGAATGGGCTGCATGCATGAATGGTTTTCGTAATCTTCTTTTTCCCGTTCGCAAGGCCGGCCCGTTTCAAACTCTGCAACTTCTAAGTTCTGTCACCGGTTCCTTCCTTAATTCTAAAAGTTTTGCCGCCCGGCTTGACTGTACCGGACCTGCCCATGCGTAATATCAACACAAGACAGTTTCCTTTACAATGGCATGCCTCCCTTTTAACTCCCGGAAGCCATTTACTGTACCTTGGCAGTCTCGGCACTGGGGGATAAAAACACGAGCTTGACGGTTCCAGAACCCCGAGGGAAAATCGTCTCACTAGGTTGGACCAAGGGAAGGGGAGACTGGTGTTGATTCGTACCGGTACTCCACCTAACGGTTGGCCCACCAGAATACTAACAACCTCTGGTGAGGAGAAAGGCAAGAACTCCCTACTCCGGGAATTTGGCTGGATTGCAGGTGCCAGTCTGCCCGCGTAGTACTGGTGGTAGTATTTTAGACGACCAGTCAAATCTTAGGATTGCACAGCTGCATCCCGTCATGAAGTCCAACAACTCGGAGTGGACACCATGCAGGCGCGGGCCGAGTGGTGGGTAAAAGAGACTATAAAAGGCCTGTCTTTCTGGTAAAGTGTAAGATTGGCTGCAGCTAATGAGATTTACGAACCATCTCTAAGGTGGCTATTCATGGATCCTGCCTCCCGCCTAATAAGAAGGATTTCAGAGAGATCTCGGTCGTGATCTCGACCAATAATTCTCACTTGTCTTAACACTTATCTTGTTAAGTTTACCAACTTCACAACAAATAGTCACTGTTTCCTCCAACACTACGTGTTGGAAGAAACAGTGAAAACTACGAAAAGAATATAGCCAATTCTACGAAAAGAATATAGCCTTAACGAGAAGAATATAGCCTTGTGTGAGCTGGCGGTCAAATGCAGAAATGACTATGATAAGATGTTGCTCAAACACGCTTAGAACGTTATGAATTAAGTCGAAGCGTGTAAACAATTATTATTGTTACCATCCTTTCCCTTCAATTTCTTCCTCCTATATTCATATAACCTAACCTAATATTATCTTTTTACTTTTTAATTATGCCACTTGCCATTTAATTTGCATAACTTTGTTAAGTATGAAATAGGAAGGACTCAAACCTGTTAGCAAGATTTAAGAATAATTCTCATATTCATAAATGAAATTTACACTGAACGAATAACGAAATTTTAACGCTTGTTAGAAAGTGCGTTTTTTGAAAGCTCACCAATTGATACACACAAAAAATGCCTTGAAAAAACAGGTACTTACTAGTGTAATGGCCACATATAGGTTTCTTTTCTTGCACAGATTCCCTTGTCTTTGGATTAGGGTAATGCACTGTATGAAGTCTGCAGTTTTTGTCATCGCCTTGCGGGCAGTGATCGAAAGATAAGCATTTGAAACCCGTCTCGGTGATGCAGGCTCTAGCACACTCCTCCAAGGTGGAAGCCTTAATTTCCTTTTTAGCCGTAAGGGATAAGACGATGCCAGGACTTCTATCAAAGTTATCTGCGTACTTTCCTAACCAAAGGAAAAGAACAGTATTTAACAATTTTTGTAATGTAAAGCTGTCAGGACTTGTGTTTCTTTTGATTTGCGTTGGAAACGTTAATGATCCTGAATAGGAACAGGGAGCTTACTCAAGCTATGTTCAAGAAGGTGTGAAATAGAGCAACACAAGCAGGAAGGGTATACGAAACCCTTTATTTTCAATCTTTTACAGGCCCTTCCGAACTCTTTCCGGAATACAGAGACCAACCACTTGTGGTCTGAACGTAAGAATATAATAACTACTAACTAAAACTCTAACTAAAAAGCTAACTTTGAATTAGTATACAAATGCCTAGAACTAAGACTGGCTTTTATTTAAAAAAGGTACGTATGTAGTACGCCGAGCTGCTGAAACTAAGATACGTCTGCAAATATCAAGAGGGATAAACCTCTGGCCTTAAAGGCAACCAGAAACCGAGTGAAAACTCGTAAAACTACAATGGCAAGCGGCTTACTTCCTAAAACTCCTTCTCTCTCCCGCTTGGCAAAAAGCCACAAACTTAAGTCCTTGGGCGTTAGCAAGACAATTTGCATAAACAAGTTAAAGCATTTAGTTCTGGCCGGAAGTAGAAAATAAGAAGTGATAGTACAGTTTTAAAATAAAATAAACGTTAGTAAAACTTAGGATTCTTACAAAGCATTTTAAATAAGTTTGAGGCATTCAAATCCTGTGAAATTTGGAAAAGATTCGTTATTCGGAACGTTTATTAGACGTCCAGCAGAAATGCTCATTAAGAAGAGGACACGACTATTTTAACTGCATTGGTATTTGGATCATCAATGTAATCTTGTGGCGACCACACCACAGAGTGCCATCTAAAATAGCATATACAGTGAATCCTTTCAAAATTCTACTTTTATTTTTGAAACAATAATTTCAAAATTTTAATGCTGATATTACAGGGGTTGGACAAAAATATGGAAACACCTCTAAAAAACATGTTTCTTTGCTTAATATGGTGTAGGAAACCCGTTGGCATCCAAAACAGCTTGCAGTCTTCTCGGAATGGATAAATACAGTTCCTGTATGTTTCCCAATGGAATATTATACCATTCTTCCTGCAAAACGGTGGCAAGTTCAGATAACGAGAACGCACTTTCCGTTCCAATGTAGACCACAAAGGTTCGATAATATTCAAGTCTGGTGACTGTGGTGGCCAGGGGAGATGGGACAACTCATCCTCGTGCTCAGAAAACCAGTCCTGGACAATGTGAGCTGTGTGAACAGGGGCTTTGTCGTCTTGGAAGACACCATCACCATCGGGGAACAAAGTTTGTACCATGGGATGAACTTGATCGGCCAAAATGTTCACATAAGTCTTGGCAGTCATGTGCCCTGACACAGTTATCATGGGGCTAGCAGAGAACCACGATATGGCTGCCCAAACCACAACAGACCCCCCCCCATGTTTCACTCTTGGCAACAAGCAGTCTATATTATAGGCTTGAGATGGCGTTCTCCAGACGTAAACTCGGCCAGAAGTGGGAAACAATGTGAAAGAAGACTCGTCAGACCATATTACTCGCTTCCACTGCTCTATAGTCCAGGCTTTTTGACTTAAACACCACCTTTTCCTGTTACGGGCATTTGCATCACTGATGAGTGGCTTCTCAATTGCAGCACGGCCAGCAATTCCCTGTTTATGAAGCTCCCTTCTAATTGTTTTGGTACTCGCAGGGTTCGGTAACACAACATTCATTTCAGCAGTAACTTTTGCAGCTGTGGTCTTCTTATTTTTCGTCACAATTGCCCTTAATGATCGTCTGTCACGATCACTCAGGACACACTTTCGTCCGCGTTGTGATTTAGCAGATGATGTTTTTCCGCTTTTCAAATATGCGGAATAAATCTTCGATACAGTACCTCTTGAAACACTAAACACCTCGGCTACCTTGCTTACGGAAGCACCTACCATACGTGCTCCAACAATTTGCCCACGTTCGAAGTCTGTTAACTCTGACATAATGCAATGACAACCTCACATAACAGTACTCCGACAACAACTGAACTGTTTAGCACATTTACGAAGTTGTATCGGTGGCGTCAGTAGTCAAAAACGCCAGCGCCGTCTACATATTTCATTAAAATCAATCTTTCTTTTCAAACATGCATTTCACAAGGTGTTTCCATATTTTTGTCCATCCACTGTATAATGGTGCTTGTTTTTTCATTTGCCAATCTATCAATAACACTGTTGCTGTTATGTACACAGTATAAAAAGTTACACCCGGTTGCTGTTATGTAGACAGTTGGTTAACAACAGTTACAGCAGTTGTGGGGAAAGTTTGATGCATTACAATTATTCTATCCACCTAATATGCACTATTATGAACATAAAATTATTGACTCTTATTCCACTTTCTAAATATGGACTTTTATTTTATCTTCAAAATTTAGCTATGTAATGTTAAATTCAAATGTAACCATTTTTACATATTTATATATTCATTGTAACCTTGATGTAACGTATATTCATTCTAACTATTTATATTGTTATCCTAATAAATGTCTGGCTGGTGGTAGATAGTATCCATCAATAGAGCACGAAAGTCTAAAGATGGTGTGGCTACTCTATTGATGGTCTCCTATAGTTTCAAATACTACAATATTTGAAACTTTTCTGCAGATCGTAGTTTAGAATGAACTAAAAAATTCAAAAGAACCGCCTTTCAACATTTCTGTTTCGTTTTCCTTAGCAGTAACGGAAATAAAACTATCAAATACATCTTTCTTAAATAGGAATTCTTATTAATGTCAACGAGAATTATAATTTTATTGATATTCTTAATTTTCATTCTGAAGTTTCAAAGAAATGCGCAAGGTATAACAATATTATGCAGCATTTGAAATCTAGTGATAAATCTTTTAAATATTCTCGAATAAAAACTATTTTTCTTGTCAAATCAATACCATATGGAGATTCAGAGTCTCGTTATTCTTCACCTACTGTGGGTAAAAAAAGTATTTGCACAACTACATTTTTGTTTGCAATTCATAAAAAGAAGCATTAAGAAATAAAAAAATTGGTATTGCCAAATCAGAATAAGTTTAATCATCCAAAACAAACGGAAAAATTACAATAATATAAATAACAATGCTTTTTTGTAACAAAATTAAAATATCTCGTATCAAAAAATTATTTGCACACCTGCATGAATACAAAAGAAATAAAATGTATAAGGAAATTTCAAATAACTAATATTTAATATGAATTCCTTTAGCATCTATTACTGCTTGAAATCTTGCTGGCATTGATTTAATTAAATTTTCTGTAACAGTAGGGTCAATATTCGACCACTCTTCAATAAGAGGCTTGTTTAAGGGTAGATTTGCTTGAAATCTTCCTTTTTACTTATTTTTAAATTCCAAAGAATTCCACAAATTGTTCCAAAGGATTTAAGTCTGGTGATTGTGGGTGGAGTGGGAAGTTTTCTGGTTACTGGGTATTATATAAGCAACCACATACGTGTTATACCGGCAGGTGTGCTTGGGATCATTGTCTTGCTGAAAATAGTACGAATTACAGATACACCAATTTTATTGCACTTTGTGGCAAGTTATCTCGCAACAACATCAATATAGGTTCGAGCTGTCATATTCCCATCAATGAAACACAAATTACCAACTCCTTTGCTAGCCATGCACCCCCAAATTATAACAGAACGTCCTCCATTTTTAACTGTAGGCTACAAATTTTTGGTATGAAAAGCAGTACAAGGTTTTCTCCAAACTAATTTCCTGCCATCTGATTTAAAGATATTGAACTTACTCCCGTCGGAGAATATGACATTTTCCCAGAAATCAATTGGCTTATTGATATATTCCTTAGCAAATTCAAGTCTCTTCAGTCTGTTTCGTTCAGTTAGGAGAGGTTTTTTCCTTGGTGATCTCCCATAAATGTGTGCATCGTGCAGGACATTTCGAACACTTTGGGCACAGATTTGAACTCCAGATGTTGAAGCGACATCATTGGCTAAAGTAATTGCACTAAAAAATGTATTTTTTTATGTTTCTCTTATGATTTTTCGCTTCATTCGCAGTGAAAGTTTCTTTGGAAGTCCAGAGCGCAAGTTATTTCATGTAGATCCTCTTTCTTTATAACATTTTATAACAGTAGAGAAGCAAACATTTACTTTTTTACCTATTTCTCGATAACTTAGGGCATTTTCACGTAGAGAAACAATTTTTTCTCGCAACGAAATCGGCAATTCAGTTTTCTTAGGTGCCATTACAATTTGAATCGACAATCAACTGATAGTTTATAGTTGTCTTACGACGACTATAAACTATCAGTTGAGGGATGACTGTCAAATAATAGCATAAAAATGCAAATTTGCTAAAGTTGAGTTGAGTGTGCAAATACTTTTTTGACATAAGCTATTTTAATATTGTTGCAAAAAAATGTTTTTTATTAATATTATTGTATTTTTTGTAATTAATTTAAATGAATAAGCTTATTCTATTTTTTAAATGCCAATTTTTGTATTTCTTAATGCATTTTCTTATAAATTGTGAACAAAAATGTATGTGTGTAAATACTTTTTGTACCCACTGTATATCTTGACAATCCACGTGAGTAACCCCTATAATATAACGTATCAGGCAAAACATGACCCCCTAAAATTGTAGCACCCTTCTAGTTACGCCGCTGCCTATCAGACCTCTCAGTAGATTATACTCAACCTGCCAAATTAAAGTTTTCAAGTTCGTATACGTCGTTTACAACTATCATTTTTAATGAATAAGGGGTAAGTATTATTACTCGTTAAAAGATTGCAAAAGGTATCGTCCTCCATGTCTCCTGACTTGATATCTTCTCCATACTTTTTGCTGACAATGCATTCCGAGGTTTTTAGACAATATGACACCGTCTCGCAGTCTTTGAAATCCAGACACACTCTCTGGCATTCGTCGTAGCGTAATTTGCCCAAATTTTTCACGACGTTTCCGGAACCAGCTTTCAACTTGGCGCCAGCTTTCAGTACTCGCATTCTAGGATTCAATTCATCTGTAAGTAAGAACAATCCTCTATTAAATTAACGTAAGTTGCATTTAAATCCAAATTATACATATTTTACAACTTGCATTTCATTCTTTTCCTTATATTACCGACTGCTCCTCTAGCTCAGACATAAGGAATTGTTTATGGTTTTTATGCTCCTTTCGATACATATATTTAAGTAAGAGGAATGTTTAAAAGCTAATGCCAAAAAATACATTTGACACTATAGTTCTTTAGCAAAAATATAAAATCATGTAACAACTAGAAATAATGTTAAAGTAATAAAAGCCATCTCGTAAAAACTAAATGTAAAAATTACAAATCGAGATGACTTCAAAATCAAAAATGGGTGATAAAAAATAAAAAAGTAAAGAAAGTTTAATGCCCAAAGAATTTTAAAAAGAACTCTTTTTTTTTATAAAAATAAAGAAATTTTAATGCACAAAGAATTAAAAAAAAAACTCTTTTTAAAAAAAAATAAAGAAAGTTTAACGCAGAAAGAATTTTAAAAAGAACTCTTTTTTTTTTATAAAAATAAAGAAATTTTAACACACAAAGAATTGAAAAAAACCTCTTTTTTATTTAAAAAAAATTTTTTTTTTATCATCTTTTTTTTTTCTTTCTTTTTTTTTATCACCCATTTTTGATTTTGACCCAAGTCATTTTCGATTCTTAATTTTTACATTTCGTTTTTACGAGATAGCTTTTACTACTTAAATATTGTCTCTAGTTGTTACATGATTTTACATTTTTGCTAAGGAACTGTAGTGTCAAATATATTTTTTTGTATGCAGATGATTTGTGTTAAGGAGGGGGAAGTGTAGAGTCAGCTTTCAATCTTTCATTAGAGGCGATACCTATTTTGAGAGATGCGAGTTTTAATTTGAGAAAGCTAAACTTTAATTCTAAAGAGTTGTATGACTTATAGCTTCAGAAAGGGTTGTGTGAAGAAAGTAGCTTATAAAGAGAAATAATAAGTTGAAAGTGTTAGGCTTGGTGTGGAGCTTAGAAGAGGATGGTTTGAGAGTAGACGTTACATCATTGTTGAGTAGTTTAGAATCGTTGGGAAACAGTAAAAAGATCGGTCTTAAGCACAGCAGTTAAGGTGTTTGTCCCAGTTGGATTTATTTCTCCATTTGTGATGCGAGTTAAGAGATTTATACAGGAAATATGGGAGAGAGGTTTGGAGTAGGATTCAGAGTTGCCAGAAGAGTTACAGCACAAATGGATAGAGTGGTGCACTGAAATTGAGGAATTAAACGCGTTGAAAATAGAGAGGTACTACTTTACAGAAGTTTTAAGTAAAGGTCATATTTTCAGTGATGCGTCAGTAGTGGCATATGGGGTGGTGGCATATTTTAGATATAAGAATGAGAGAGGAGAGGTATGTACGTCGTTTATAATGTCAAAGAGTAGGATAGCTCCGTTAAAAAAGTTGTCCCTTCCTAGGTTGGAATTGATGGGAGCTGTAGTTGCAGCCAGGTTAGGAAAATATTTATTGAAAGTGTTTCAGAATTTGGTAGGTAGGTTAGTTCTGTGGAAGAACTCAGAAATTTGTTTGTGGTGGATAAAGGGGTCAGCACGTGAGTGGAAGCAGTTCGTGTCGAATAGAGTTGCAGAAATACAAGACTGTACTTCGCCTGATAAGTGGAAATATTGTCCAGGGTCGAAAAACACAGCAGATAAGTTAACTCGTGGTGAAACAGCAAATGCATTGGTGAAGGATAATAATTGGTGGCATGGTACCATCATGGTTGAAAAATTCTGAAGATCAATGACCTGAGCAAAAGTTTAAAGTAGAAATTAATACTCAAAATTTTTAACGTTTAAGCACTTATGTTCAAGTGACTGTTCCAGAAGAAGAAACTGCGTTAAACATTACAAATTCAGCAGTCTGGAAAAATTGTTGAGAGTTACAGCTTGGGTAAGGCGGCTTGTCGCCAAGCTAAGAGAACGTACCTGTGAAGAAGGTCCTTTCACTGTATTGGAGACCCAAGAAGCTGAGGAATACTGGATAAAACAAGTTCAAAGAGATAATTAATTTTCGGATATTCAACAACTAGAGAGGAATAATCTAATAACACCAGATTCGAGATTTACAGTTTAGCACCATATCTAGACAGCAGAAGTATTTTGCGTGTCAGAAGTCGTTTGGAACAAGCAGAATTAATAGATGACGAAAAACATCCTATTATACTGCCAAAGTTGAAGTTCACCGAACTAGTGATTGATATTTAGTGAACACATAAAAGTATTTCATTCAGGAAATATGGCAACATTGTCCAAAGTCAGGGATAAATTTTGGATACCTAAAGTAAGACAAGTAGTAAAGAAAGTTATTAACACTTGCCTGGTGTGTAAAAAGTTCGCAGTGAAGCCCACCAAACAGTTAACGGGTCAGTTACTAAGAGATCGTATAGTCCAAAGTAATCCTTTCACAGTTGTAGGCATTGACTTAATTGGAGCGGTTACTACTAGAGAAAAAGCGGATATCCACAAAAAGGTGTACATAGCCTTATTTACATGCGCTGTACACATTGAAGTGGTTTCAGATCTGTCAGCAAAAAGTTTCATTTTTTCATTACGACGTTTTTTAGCAAGAAGAGGAAGCTGCAAAGTGATTTATTTAGATAATGCCAATAATTTCCGCAGCATAATGTGAAATAATTAAGGGATTTAAAAGAATCAGCGTAGAGCCAAGTGTAAGAGATTTTTTTGACATCTGAAGGAATAACATGGAAATTCATACCTGAGCATGGAGGGTTCTGGGTGCATTTCATGAGAAGCATCAAGGAACCTCTGAAAAAAATCTTAGGAAGAGCATTACTGACTTTCGAAAAGCTCTCTACAATATTAACTGAACTCGAGTGTGTACTACATAATAGACCTTTAACGTATGAGAGCAACGAGCTGAGTGAACCTCGCCCGCTCACGCCTTCACAGTTTTTATTGCCAGGACGTGATACATTTAACTTTACCGAGCATTTTTTGGAATTTATTAACAAGATGTCAGACAAAGAGACTTTAACTAGGACGGAAGCTTTACCACTCTAGGCTCTTACAATTAACATGGGTCAAGTGGAAAGAGCAATATTTACTTCATCATAGAAATGCGCAAAACTTTGCTAATCCTACAATTGAGCGAAACCTGGAGACTGAAGACGTTGACTGGAGACTGGAGACGTTGTGTTGGTAGAAGGACCAAAACAATGAAACTACTTTGGGACATAGGAGCGATTGAAAATGTAATTATAGGACAAGATGGACATGTTCGAGCGTGCCTCGTTCGCATTCCGAAAGGACAATTCAGAAGAACAATCTAGATCTTTTCAAAATTTAATTTAGAACTTTTGATATTATTTAAGTTTTAGTATGATATTATTAATTATTATGTTCATTTTTGTTTTGATGTATACTAGTACAGATTATTCATTTATATATGTCGTACTATTTAGTATTAAACCGTTATTAATTAATGTTAATATTGATATGTAAGTAAGCCTGTGTACTCTTATTAAAGAGTAAAGGTGGGGAGTGATATAGAAAAAGAGACAGAGGGCGCTGCGCCGCTCGTATCTTTAGCTAATTAAGAGTTTCGGCAGAGAGAGTTGAGAAAGTGAAGAGGGTGGTTGAATGTGGTCATATAGAGAAGTGTTTTATTAAACAGTTATTATATAACTCAAACCAATCACTAATATACTTGTAAATATATTTGATTCTTAAAGTAGTTAGAGGAAATGAAGTTGTTTAATTTAACACAATATGACATCAAGATCCACCGATGTGAATCTGGAATATAAGTAAGTTTATTCCTATTTGACTGTGTTCTCTCCCTATCACAATATAAAAAATCTGATGTGTACACCACATGACTTCCTTGTACGGAATATTAAATTATACACATTTTTTTTCTTGCATTTCATTTAAACTTATTAGATTGAATTAAATCTACTTCGTCGACAGCGCATAAACCACAATAGAATAAATGCATTCTTTAAAATTCACTCTAGTATTTGTTTACCATAGCGACACTTTGGCGCTAGATTCACTTAACAGTATTATATTTCGTTCATATTATAACTCATAATGCACAAAATTTATATCATTTAAAGAATAGAATTATCTGATCGTTGCCACGTGTTCTATTCAAATACTATAATAAAGCTAGAACGATGTCTAAAAGAAATTAAGCAAACAAAACAAAAAATAAACAGTTTTTCACAGACGATTGAGTATTTCTCATTCAATTAATTCAGTTCTCACTTAGCGAGAAGGCAAAAATACATAAAAACTCAAAATATCTATATTAAAAATTACGAAGTAAATCTTAAACAATTATTTCCTCGAAAAAATTCCAGAAAGGATTAAGCATGATTTAATTGGCAATAATAAATGAAGGCGTTATCTTTGTTGTTGCGAAGCTACGTTTCTCTAGATTGGCCACAAATCCACTGGTCTGCTGTTTCAAATGTAAACAAACAATGGCCGCCATCAAGAAAATTATTAGGCGTAGCGGCACTTAAACAACTTTAAAATTATTGATAATTCTAAACATATTGCATAGAGATTTACTAAAGGCATAAAAACCTTAACCGGAAGATAAAAACAACATAATTCAATCATTTTTAAAGCAAAAAATGTACAATTTACAAACATATAAGAGTAAAGAAACTGAGATCACTGAGCCGGGTAACAGAGTGGATATATACTATATAAATATATTTATATACGTTTGGTGCGGCCGATTGCAACCAAAATACGAGGTGCACATCTACATGTTATAGTAGTTTTATATACAAAATTTCAACGTTCTGAGGCTACTCGTTTTTGAGTTAGGCGAGATACGAACGCACGCACGTACGTACAGATGCCACGAAAAATTCTCTTCAGAATTCATTTTAAAGCATTTTTTTAGTTTTTTTTTTTTGGAGGAAAAGAGTCTTTTATTCTGTCCTTACGTACAGATATCACGCAAAAACATCGTTAAATTGCATTCGATAGCGGTCAAAATGGATATTTTCTTTGAAATATGCTGCCTGAAACTTTTCGCGATTACAATACTGCCTTTTTACTTCGTACAAGGAAGTAAAAATATAAATGCTCTTGAATAAGCAGGATTAGAGTGTAAGGAAATTGTGGCTGCAAATGTCAATTGAAATAAAAATGAAGATTTAATCTGCCTCGAATGCTAACTGTGCTCTTCATTACGAATTCAACATTTTCGCAGTCTGCGCAATCAGAATTCTTCCTCTTCAATACGGATCCATGTTCTAAGCTATCAACGCGTTACGCCATTAACATTGCTACATCTTTTTCTCTATTTTCATTACGCAGGGCAAAGCACACGAAGAGTATTTGCGAAAGGGAGGAGATGCCTTTATGGAAGACTTTCTAAGCTCGTACTTACTTTATACTTAGGAAAACTACAGAAACAAATCGTATAACCCACCCGCCCATTCGCTTGAGTTCGAAGCCGGGTCGAACTATCAGTATTCAGATGTCTTGACCATTCAGCCATCCTGATGGGCTAGATCTCCTTGTAAGTAGACCCTGAATGGTTCCGTATTATTTTGACTTTCTATGTAGGTGGTCAGTATAAATAGGTTATGTGTCAATACCGATATTTATTGATGTTCATAGAAGTAGTAGTTACTTTTAGAAACAGCCATTTTAGAGAGGTAGTTACCACGACATTGGTTATTCCATTTGCTTAAAGACGCTATTTGTCATTTTCACCCCATTGACTGGACTTATGCAAACACAATGTATTCTGCACCACCGAAATACAGATTATATTTCTATATTTACATCTAGTTAATTCTTTAGGAAGTCGTGTATTTGTTTGAACTGGAGACATTCATCAATCTTTTAGTTTACATAAAATTAATTAAAGGCAAAAATTGGCGTGAGGAAGAAAACGGAGGAAAGTATTGAGTTATTTATTTAAGATTTTTAAAACACTGAATTTTTCTGTCTAGAAAGAGAGATACATACTTCCGATCCGATAGAACATGGAATCGTCTTCTCCAGGGTAGGTTACTTCAAATGAGCTCACCTCTACTTGAATCATCTGTAGAGAAAAGTTATTAAAAATGATAATGAGTAAATAATCCAGACACAGTTCATAACTACGACTAAACCTTTATTTTACACATATTATAAGTTGCGTTTTACTTAGCATCCTAAACATTTTTGATAAACTGAATTTCCATTTAATTAATTTATGGTATTTCATTAACAGAGTTTAGGAAAGAGTATTGGTGATTTCATATAGGAGGTTTAAGTATAGGAGGGTTAAGTATCTAAGATTCTGCCTGCCATAGTACTGTTCTCACTAATGGTGAATTTTAACTTTTGACTGTTCTTACATTAGAAAGCATGTTAGCGTAGATGCTAGGTTCTTAGATTAACGAAGCTTTCAAATGAGGGATTTATGGTAAGAACTCCTATAAGTTAAACCTCCGTTCAAGTTAAATTGTTCAACTATTGCATGCAGACTAACAAAAGGCATAAAAACCTTAACCAGACCATAAGAACAACATTATTCAATAACTTTTAAAGCATAAAATGTGTAGTTTACCAACACATAATAAAAAAAAATCTGATGTGTAAATCCACATGACTTCCTTGCACGGAAAATTAAAATATACGCATTTTTCTTGCATTTCATTTAAACTTATTGCATTGAATTAAATCTACATCGTCTATAGCGCATAAACCACAATAAAATAAATGCAGTTTTTTAAATTTCATTATAATTTGTTTACCATAGCGACACTCTGGCGCCAGGTTCACTTAACAGCGTTACATTTCGTCCATATTATAACTCAGAATGCATATAAATTTATATCATTTGAAGAATTATATAATCTTTACCAAATGTTCTATTCAAATACTATAATAAATCTAAAACGATGAATAAAAGAAATTAAGCAAACAAAACAAAAAAGAAAGAGTTTTTCACAGACGATTCAGTATTCAGCAAAAATACATAAAAACTCAAAATATCAATATTAAAAATTACGTAGTAAATCTGAAACACTTATTTCCTCGAATAAATTCCAGAAGGGATTAAGCATGATTTATTGGCAATAATAAATGAAGGCGTTATCTTTGTTGCTGCGAAGCTAAGTTTCTCTAGATGGCAAAAATCCATACTCTATGTTTCAAATGTAAACAAGCAATGGCAAAAAAATATTAGACTTAGCGACACTTAAACAACTTTAAAATTGTGATAATTCTAAAATATTCCATACAGATTTACTAAAGGCATAAAAACCTCACCGGAAATAAGAACACATAATTCAATCATTTTTAAGCAAAAAATGTACAATTTACAAACATATAAGAGTAAAGAAACTGAGACACTGAGCCGGGTAACAGAGTGGATATATATATAAATATTTTATATACTTTGTGCTGCCGATTGGAACCAAAATAGGAGGTGCCATCTACATGTTGTAGCAGTTCTACATACAAAATTTCAATGTTCTGAGGCTACTCGTTTTTGAGCTATGCGAGATAGGTACGTACGTACGTACGCACAGACACCACAAAAATTCTCTTTAGAATTCATTTTAAATTAGTTTTATAATTTTTTTGGGGGGAAAAGAGTCCTTTATTTTGTCCTTAATTGCGGATGTCACGCAAAAACATCATTAAATTGCATTGGATATCGGTCAAAGTCGATATTTTCGTTGAAATATGATACCAGAAATTTTTCGCGGTTACAGTACTTCCTTTTTACTTCGTACAAGGAAGTAAGAAACTGAAATCACCGAGCTGAGTGGGAGAGTGGTCATATATATGCGTTTGGTGTAGCCGATTACAACGAAAACGGGAGATGCACAACTACATGTTGTAGCATTCCAATGCACAAAATTTCAATGTTCTACGGCTACTCATTTCTGAGTTATACGAGATAAATACATACGTACATACAGACGTCACGAAAAACTCTTTTCAGAATCAATTTGACAATCCGTTTTGGAAAAGAAAAGAGTCTTTTGTTTTGTCCGTACGTAGAGATGTCACGCAAAAACCATCGTTCAAATGGAATCGAGAGTTGTCAAAATGGATATTTCAGCCCGAAAATTTTCGCAATTACAGTACTTTACTTTATTTTTAGAAAATGGAATTATTTTTACTTATTTATAACAGGTAAATGTACCGATTTAAGAATGAAAAATAATGTCCCGAATATGTCTTCCAGTACTTGCTGTCTAGCACTACACTCTTCGGATAAAATTCGCAATCACTTTTTCACTTAATCACCCATTCAGGATGGTTAATGATACATTGAATTTCCTGTTTAAGAACTTTTGTTGTTAGTCTCTCTAGGATTCTAAGTTTTGAGTTTTTGGTGACTATAATACCGTGGTGATTTAATGTCTGCTGCCAAACCCGCGTCCTCAAATTTCTTTATCAGTCTGCGATCTGTTTTTTTTTTTTTTTTTTTTTTTTTTTTTATCAGATGTGCTGTCACGTCCAAAGACTGCACGAAGCTTTCTAATACACAACCATCGTCTGTGCCCAACCATCGTCGTTCTTGTAATGAGTTTTCAAATTTCAAACTTCCCGTTACTTTGTAAACTAAATATGAGTAAATCTGTAATAAATCGCTGAAATTGCTAGTTCCGACGTGGGTTCGAATCCAGGCGCCAGTTCTCTTAGAAAATCCTCCACGAAGGCATCCTTTCCCGTAGCAGATAGCCCTAGTGTACTTTGCCTTAAAAAATTAAACCAAACCAAACTATAGAGCTCCATGCCGATGAAGTTGTGTAAGGAGCTAACAGTAATAAAATACAGTAATAAATGTCCGATGGCAGGTCAAATCAAACCTCGCATTCTTAAATCGAAGCATTTACCTATTAAGTCTGTAAAAATACTTCGCATTTTCTAAATTCGGGGGTATATTTATTTCGACGCTTTTGTTGGCACATCCTATAGAATATACTACTTCTATATTTTTAAAAAAGAAACGCATTAATATATATGTTTATTTTGTTTTACAAGATTCTGGATTAAAGAGACTAATGTTTTTATTTGGATTGAGTATTTATGGGACTTAATGGTTTGAAACTAGCATCTATCTAATAATTTGATACTTACTTGGAAGTAAGATCAAACACTCTCTTAATTTAGTTATTGTTAATTGATGGTAGATTGGTTTATCCCCTTGATAAGTCGGTTAATCTACGATCAATGACAATACTTTTTCAATATTTAAAATCTACTTTTGGTTTGTAAATTTTTCTTAGAAGATTTTTAAACAAATAGTTGAAATTTTTAAAATACTAATTTAAATTCTAAATTTTTTCAATTAAAAATTTAATTTAAATTTGTGTTCTTTGGAGATGGTATGTGGAAAGTTTTCTTATTATAAAATATATATATATATATATTAAATACTAAAGAAATTTGCCCGTGCAGAAATCAGGTCCAGAGGATTAAATTCAAGACAATCATTTATTGTTTATCAAATTTACTTTAAATGCACAATAAAATTTCATTGGGTTAATCTTTGGATTGTGGTAACTTGGAGGTTTTTTGGCGAAATTTTGGCGACCCTGCTACAGCAACCTGCTAGTTTTGTTTTGGACGCCATTTTGTTTTCACGAAGTAAAGCATTTTTTTTTTTTTTTTTTTTTTTTTTTTTTTTTTTTTTTTTTTCCTTTTACTACTCAACATTTTTTCCAACAATCTGCTAGCCGAATTACGCTTATACTATAACTTTTATGGAACAAAAATGCTTAATCATGACGAAGATTATGTGCGAAACTGGGAGAAAAGTGCAGAATCACCCACTGCTTGCCCGCGTTTTTAAAGAATTGCACATACACGGTATGATCCATGTACACGTCGACCTATTTTCACTTAAAAAAACCCCAGAATGCACAAAACATTGCGCGCACACTCTTAACTTTGACTTTATCCATGTACACTGCAAAGTCCTAGCTAGTAACCTTTATCGCCTTACCAAAATGTCGCCAAACTACTTGTTACCACATTCTAAAGATTAGCCTTTCATTGTTTCATTAATATATAAAATACTTTAAGAAATTTTCGAAACATATACTTAAGCTAAATGTCTTCAGTTGTTCTGGCTCGTAACATTTCGGATTGCACCACTGTATTGCACTGCAGTAACTGTTGCAAATTAAAACAATGAATAAACTAATACATTTAAAGAAAATGTTGCAATATTTACTAACTTTGTCGTCTTTCCCTTTTAGCATTAATTTCAGCAAATGTTCTTCGACCAAATTCTTAATGTTATCCACCAGTAATTCCATCGATGGTATGAATGTTGTGTTATCATACCCTAAGAAATACAATGCTGTGTAATTAATAAAATATTCTAAGCTAATGGACATACATATAATTGCTAAATTTTCTATCGATAAAACACACGCAACAAAACAGCAAGTTTCGTGTATAGTTAAACATCTGCAATAAATTTAGTGTTAACTCAATTAAGAATAATTCAAGAAATAAACAGAATAAAACTTGCATTAGATTTCGCCTTTCATTTCTTGTTAAGACGCGAGTTATTTCCTGGCAATTTGGAAATCAAAAATATTTAACTAGCTGGAACACCTTAAAACATTTTTTACCCATCTGTAAACACATATTAAAATATAGGGCTAGTAAGAAAGTAATTTCCGCTTTTTAGTTGAAATAAAACTCAACTTTTCAGTTGAAAAAATGATCTTTAGACCTTTCGCAATAAGGTATTTCTCCCGCTTCCCTAGCGTGCCTTCGTGGTGTAACGGTAGCATGCTGGGCCGGTATTCCAGAGGTTCGTGGTTCGATTCCCGGCGAAGGCGTTTGCTACTTTTTCATCTTGCCTGCTTCCAAAAATACCTAATGTCTCTACAAGTGGCGTCCGAACTAAAAGGTTTGTGGATGATGATTCTCCGCACCCAGGATTTGGCGACTAGGTCCCCTAAAACCCTAGTCGCCCTTTAAAAAAAGGGGAGTATATAAGGTATTTCTCCCACTTCCCTAGCGTGCCTTCGTGGTGTAACGGTAGCACGCTGGGCCGGTATTCCAGAGGTCCACGGTTCTATTCCCGGCGAAGGCGTTGTTCATTTTTCATCTCTCTTGCTTCTGAAAAAATCCTAATGACTCTACATCGCCATCTTTCTGGTAACTGCATGATTCCATGCTCATAGAACTTCTGGTCTTCATCACCAAAAGACTCAGCCAGGTGCGATTTGATGTCATCGTTATTACTGAAATTTTTACCGTGTAAGAAGTTTTGTAAACTTTGAAATAAATGATAATCCGATGGTGAAAGGTCGGGACTATATAGGGACGCAACATCACTTCTCAACCAAGCTCCAGTAATTTCGAACATGTTGCAAAAGATGTGCGAGGCCTCGCATTGTCGTGGTGGAACACAATTCCTTTGCAATCTGCCTATTCTGTGCTTTTCCTGTTTAATTGTTTCCTTCGGTTTCATAAGTTGCTGGCAGTGATGATCTGAGTTGATTATTTGGTTGCTTGGAAGCAGCTCAAAATACGCAACACTTTTGTAATCCAGCCAATTTAACAGCCTGATCCTTTTCTGGTGCAGTTTAGCTTTCGATATGATTTGGACTGATTGATTTATCATGCATGGACTAGGGTCTTTTTCTATTAATGTTATTATAGACTATCCATTTTTCAGCCTAAGTGATAATTCGTTTCAAAAAAGGATCGATTGCATTACGCTTGAAATGTGTATCGCCAATATAGATCCGTTGTGTTAAGTGAATTTCTTTCAACTCATACGGAACCCAAATATCGGGCTTCTTAAACGAGTTTAAATATCTTATACAGGGTAGATAATCCTTATACAGGGATCCTACCTTTTATCTATGAATTACGTATGGAGGAACCTAGCGAATAATCGCTTAAATCCAAAAACAGGAACGTAAAACTCAAGAAGGGTTAATTACTCTTTCAATGCTCAAAATAAAGATTAACAGGTTAACAGTTGGTCTCTTTCTCAGGACGTACAACAAAGTCTCCACTTGGGCTTGAACTCAAAAATGTAAGAAATAAGAACGTTGCTAATAACTAACTAAAGAGGTTTAGCCTAAGCTAATACAATTTCTAACTAGTTGGCCTCTAATACTAAATTAGCTAGCGAAGCTATCAAGGCACGCAATACGGCCGAGCGTAGTAACAGCTTAGAGAGACGTACCCAAAAGGCAAACGTACCCTATTCAGGTATCCTAATTCTCTCTATCGAAGTCACTGAACTTTGACTTAAATACTCTCTACTATTCATTTGCATTTAACGCGATTCTAAAAACTCATTCTTGTACGGAAATGTAACCTGAAGCTAGAAGAGACAGAAAAAGAGCTTTAACTTAAAAATAACTGCTATAAAATTAGGATATACCTTACGGTATAATGACGAGTAAGAAGATGATGTAAAATTTGCCTACTTTGTATAGAGAAGAGTGAACTATTCATAGAAAAATTATCTACCCTGTATTGGAAACGAATAAATTGATAGGGAAATAGCCGAAGATGAGTAACAACATTACAAACCATTGTCTGTCCCACATAAAGACGATTAAAAAGTGGAAAGGTAAATTATCTGTTCTGTAAAGAAATTGACAAGGATATTGACAAAGTTAACAAGGATATAAAATTGACAAAAACCGGAAAAAACGTAAGATTCGTGTAACAAATCAAAACTAATATTTAATTGGACTTGCTTTGGAAAGAACTGCAACAGTCTTAGCTGTGGCATGGATTCTACAAAGTTTATGTATGATATTAATATCTCCTTGAAGATATTGGGCATTAGTTGTTCCTGAAGTTCGGCAAAATTCCTGGAATACCTCTAACTCTTTCTTGACTCTCTTTGCACTTCTTTCTTCTCTTGTACTGGATGTTTTTTTATCTCTTTGTCTCTATATTTCTTTTTTGTCTTGCCTATCGTTCGTCTCTTGATGAGTAATTCCGACCAGCAGACACTTTTATTCGAACACTGTTAGTACTATACCATAGTTCAGAATTATTGATCTTGGCTTGAATTACACTAGATATGCTCTTGTCGCTATGTGGTTTTCCTGTAAGATAAACAAAATTCCAGAGGAAAAAACATTGTTGTTCTCACACGCTCCTGGCACTAAAGACTGACTGAGATGACTAAATGGACACAAGATAACTAAGACCTGGTCGCTCTCAGAAACAATGGAAAAAGCCCAAACATTTTGCACACCCCGCAGTTAGAGTTAATTAATTCGGTAATATTGACAGCTGTCTGTCATAAAATTATAAAAATTTGACACTGTTGAATTTTCATGCCACTCTTCGCGTAGTTTGAAATTTCCAATGGAGTCTTGTTAGTATCTGGCGGCCAGTATCCTGGCCAGGAGAGAACTCAGCCACTCAAGTTTAAATCTAGCTAAATCAATCATTCAGAATTGAATGGAGCTTCTTCAACCAGGATTGAACTTCTGCACTCGTCAGTACAAACGTCCTTACTCAGGATCCAGACAGTGAGCGATAACGAACAATGTAGTGAGAACTGCAATACTTTCACAGGAATGCTCGCCTTTCGTACAGAAGAGTTCTTGAGTTCTTGTAGCTTCATGTTAGTTTCCCAGAAGAGTTTTCAATATTTGAAAGCAGCAAAGACCTTCCCTAAGTTCTGATCTTGGTGTCTTTTAAATACAAGATACCAGTGATGTAGAGGAAATTCTTCTCTGTGCGAAAGTGTTCTTCTCATTGCTTCGAAACAGAAAATAGAAAAGAAAACAAATAGAAAAGGAAACCCATTGTGAACTACTTAGTAGTTCGAACAACCCCCCGAATGAATTAGTTACTGCGAATCAAACTGTATTTGTCTGGATGAGAGAATACCAAAAAATCCCCTATACAAACGAGTTTGCTTATAAATCTTTACCTATAAATACTAAAAGCTGTACGTATCAAATAACTTCCTTTTACTGCCTAAAAAGTCGTTTTTATGCTTCTGAGTGAAACATTGATTTAGTCATTTCTTATGTGTTATATAATTTTGAATGGCCAAAAGCAATTGCTCCTTTTTGATACATACTGCGTCTGGCTTATATTCGTCTAACAACAGAGATAAAATACAATCATCAAGTAATACGGTTATCAGATACCAATTCTTACGACATTAGAGTACTCTTTATGAGGAATGCACTTCCTTCGACTGCCTAAAAATACGAGTCGTATGTTTACCAGCATTATGAACACAGACGAATTAAGGAACTTTTTGATTTATTTTGTCCTTTTGAACACCCAAAGTAATTCCTCTTTATTCGCGCTCATTTATCAACTTGCTGCCATTCTGAAACAGAGAAAAGACACAGTCTTTAAGGAACATGGTTATTTCATCGATTAGGTATTTCATTATCCGCTTTCATGTTCGTCAGATTGACAAATATTGACAGCATCTTTCGCACTGCAAAACAGAATCAGTATAGTTGTTCGTGGAAGGTCTGATTTTCTCTCCGCTGTGTATATTGAACCTGCATAAAGCAGTTCATTGGGAAATCGCTTATCCTTTACAGAAAGGATATAAAGGAATAAGAAGATATCCAACAATTGAAGCAGATAGAGATCTAAAATCTAAAGAGGATCAATAAACCGACAGGAAAATCCCAGAGAATTGCATATTTTGTGAAAACAGAGATGGTTAACATTCTGACAGTGGAATTGTCTTTATAATCAGTGTGCTGGGTTCAGGATAGAAATTGCTTCTTCGTACGCTAGAGGCTAGGCAAAACATTTTTTTCCCCTGCTGATTTCAAATTTTAAAAAAAAGGGAAAGAAAAAAATGTTCAAAATATTATTTTTATTTGAAATGTTTTTCTTCCAACTTGTACATACAGCAGCGCACACAATTTTCTTTTATTGCATAATTAAAAAATTTGTGATGCAGGCTTATTAGCATCATCTAGGCATGAATCCAAGTTCTGAGGACAGACTTTCTTAGCCACTGAAGTACCCGAAATCTTGCTAACTCTGATTTCTCTTAAGGGTGAAACTCGAAACTGTGATTTTGAAAAGATTAACTCTTAAAGTAAGAGTTTAAACGCCTGCAGTTTGAAAAGATCACATACATATTTTTTATCTGGTTTCACCCTCCAGGTTCTCTAAAATCGTTCCCAGAAAAGGACTCGTTCACCAGACTTGGAACGCCGTCCTACCCCTTTCTTACCAGAGGGGAAATCCCCTTCTGTTCAACCATGGAGGTAAACATGGTTGAACAACTTCTGTTCAACCATGGAGTAACCTCCACGATTCAGCGGAGGTTGAGCCAAAGACGTACGTACCGGTTTGTTGTAACTTGAATGGTTAAAGTTACGTTTTAATTAAATTCTTGTTACCGTTTTATGAGTTTGGATTCATTTCAACCCTGAAGTACGACAGGGACTTTAGATAGCGTGTTCGGCCACAAGGTGCACTTCTTCAGTGTACAGTGTATGGAGAAACACAGATCCCGGCTAAATGCAAAGACAGTAAGTAAATCATTTAAGAACCTAAACAGTCGAGCACTACTATAAATACTTTGTCTCGCTCTAGCTGGGACGTGAATCTAGGACCTTCCCTGTTCTGTAGAGATATTGTTTTTGTCCACTGAACTATCCGAAATCAGGAACCAGCTAAAAAGCTTTCTGCCTAAATGTTAAACTCCAAACTGCTACTTAAATTACATGTCTTATTAGATGAAAGAGTTTTAACTCTGTAATCTAACCAAATGCCCCTTTCAATAGCGGCTTGAATTTTGCACTGTTAGATTCTCCAATTTTAGATATCGAAAGCTAATTGGAGAAAAATTATCTAACAGTTACTACATCGGGTGACTGCTGAGAGACACTTGAGAAATACTAAAATAGAAAGACTCAAAATAAACGTTAAAACATACATCTTACATAATGGAAGAATTTACTAAAAAATTTCAAATTAATATCAATTCTTAATAATGACACAATATGAACGGGAAGGAATTGATACGTTATAGAAATGAATAACAGCTCTTACAGCAAGGCTAATAGCTATAAATCGCTCGAGGAAGATAACAGAGATAAGGCATTTACCATATCACAGATCATCAAAATAACTCGTACAGCAAAATTAAAAGCAGTAATCACTAAGTAGGAGCTCAGTACAATAACGACTTAATAGATAAATTGACTCTACACAGCCAATATATATATAAAAGATTTCCCAACTTCAGAAAGTTCCAGGTAAGCTCGCTACTATGGTTTCCAAAATGCGTTTTCTGAAGACTTCCAGAATGTCTCCAAGTTGGCAAAAAACACAATATAAGAAACAAACGCTTAACAAACATAACAAATGGCCATAAACTTGGTGAAACAATAATTACATAATAAAATTATCATATATAATCCACTAAACAAATACGCATATAAATAAAGATAGCACACATATTACTACGAAAGTATATACAAACCAATTTACAATCAAACAAATATAAAATTTTGTAACAGCATATACCATAAATGGATATACTTCCTAACTGCCAAATATTCCAATCGACTTAACTTACTTCTGTAAAGTTTGCAACCCTTTCTGGCAGACACAGTAGCGGATGAGCCTGTTCCATACGTGCACACGGCTCCACACATTGAGAAACCCCTGCATTTTTAAAAATAAATTCTCTCTTAGGGAAAACAAAATTCACATGTTTAAGTGACATTAGTTACATTTACAAAAGCAACTCCGTTTAAAACAATTAAAAATATACACTTGATAAGTCAAAGAGAATCATAATTCTATAAACGGTTACAGCAAATAGTGTAATCAGCATATATATATTTCGCGATGATCAGTAGCGCAGCGCGAGTTTCAGCCGTCCGGAGCGTAGGCCGAATTCGCCGCCCCTTAGCTGCAAACAAATCAATAATTAATCTTGATTATCCATCAATGATTGCCACTGGGGAGCAATTTTGAACAAAATTTCTGTTGAGTTCGATTTTTGAGCTGTTTTAGAGTTAAAAAGGCATGTTTAAAACACCGTATACGGAATGAATGCACAGTTTTTCAAGCAGAACTTCTGTCCATTTATCTTGCCGTCAAATGGATCAAGGATAATGGGATAAAATCCTCAAGGTACCTTATTTGTTCTGATTCTCTTTTTTCTCTTCAACTTTGGAACATCATTACTAGCTGCGACAAATTAGTTATCGAAACCCTAGTAACTGTTAGTTCACTTAGAAATAGAAAAATTGATATCCGCTTTGCTTATGTGCGTGCTCATCACGGTTTCTATGGAAATGAAAGAGCTGATTTCTTAGCTATAGATGCCTTAAATTTACACATTGATATCAAGATTTGCATTCCAAAGAGCTATTGGAAGTCCTTTCATTATAAGAAGCTTTTAGCTATGTGGAATGAAGAATATATTTCATCTTGTAATGCTAAGGTCACCAAAAAGTTCTTTCTTTCCATTTACCATAGACTGCATTCCGAGTCTTTCCTCTCTATAAATTTTAAAGTGTCTCAGTTTTTATCTGGTCACGGTAATTTGCAAGTTACCTGTTTCGTTTTAATCTAAGATCAAACAATTTATGTGAATGTTCAAAAAGAGTGTCTCATGATGTGGAACATTTGATTTTCTCATGCCCTACATTTGATGGCTCCTAGATTATGCTTACAGAACGATTTGAAAATGTTCGAGTGACTTGGCCAGTGAATTTATCTGTTTTCGTGAAGTCCAGACTGCTGTTCTCTGCTTTTGTTCGTTTTATTTATGCATGTAACTTTCAATGTTTTACTTGTAGTTAATTTACTTCTGTAAGCCCCGTGTTGTATACATGTGGTGCACGGGGAGTCTGTATGTTTTCAAAGAAAAAAAAGGCATGTTGATTTTAGAACTGCAGTTTTTCTTTCTACACATTTTATGTGAATATAACCATTTTATGTGAATATAACCACTCTCCGCGGCATCGAGCGCCGATCATATAGAGTACTACTCTTCTCCTACTGGCTGACATCATTAGACATGAACAAGAAAAACAAATGTAAAATAGAGTATCCTGGTTTACCATCAGCTATACGTCGCAGGAAGTCACGTGGTATCCAGATCAGCCTTTTTTCCTTTTTGGAAGATATTACATTTTATGTTGCTTTTGCTATCAGATTTTGATGAACTCAAAATTTGGGCCAGCAAAGTGCATGACATTTAGACTGGCATCCATGCAGATACGGCAGGTCACATCAAATGTGCTTAAAAAGTGTGGATTATAGACTCAGTACGCATTGTGTGCCAAAAGGATCTCACATAAAGCAGCTAACAAATCTAATAAGAAATTTACACAGTTTATATTTAATTCGAGTTATCAACCGTAAATATGTGCGAACTAAATTATTTATCGTAATTATTTGTCAGAATCGAATTATAAATCATAGCCTAACAGATAGGATGCATACTACAGGTTAAAAACTTTCGTGGCCAGAAAATTGACGAAGAACTATAATATTTATTTTATTTTTGGAAAAGGACCAATTATGATATGGCTAGGTATCGAGTAAACACGTAGACATGTATACAATAATCAAAATTGTAAAAACAACCTTGTATTTAGCGTAGGTATAATGAAACAATCGATTTCGAGGGCAGCTAAAAGTCCCTCCTCATCAGGAGAAAGAAATACATAGAAAGAAGAAAATAAAGGAGAAGGAGTCACAAAAACACGTGGTCCTTATCAGCACTGCACGTAGGTTATAACTAGATTTTTAATCAGAGTTGCACTGGCCGCCTACTTTTACTGAGCCAGCTTGCTCCCTATTTTAACTTCGCTAATTTTTCATGCTCGATCAGATAGCCTGGCTCAGTCAAAGTAGGCGGCAATTGCAACTCTGATTAAAAATCTAGTTATAACCACGTGCAGTGCTGATAAGGACCACGTGTTTCTGTGACTCCTTCTCCTTTATTTTCTTCTTTCTATGTATTTCTTTCTCCTGATGAGGAGGGACTTTTAGCTGCCCTCGAAATCGATTGAATGTTTCATTATACTTACGCTAAATACGAGGTCGTTTCTACGATTTTGATTGTCACATTAGCGTGTTTATCTTCTAGTCCATGTATACAATAATTGATTTTCTTTGATTTAATGTTTAATAGTCGTTTAACCAAACATCAATCAAATTTGACCAATTTATCAAATATTTACCGATTTTGCCACACATTTACCAATTTACCAAAGGTTGTAGGGCCAGTATAAATGTCATGCACATTTATTTAATAGCTTCTCCAATAACTTCTTGTTTTTTTCTCGTCGTTTAAAGCCCCACAAAGTGGATAACGAAATTTCTTATTTATTCTTCGTATTCACTTTTCAATATCATGTTTAAGCAAATCAGCTTAGCTGGGTAGAGTGAAACCTTTTTACTTATGTTTGTATGTTTGATCATATGCAGGCCGCTAAATCAAATTGCACTTATTTTACTCTTCTAAAAATACTCAGTTATTAATAGAAACCGTATTCATACCTAATTTCATTTCATAAGATACAGTGCATCTAATAATTAGACGGAAAAACCATATCAGTATACTACATAATGAGGGGTGTGTTAAGCGTGTATTGATGGAAAAAATTTAAGGTAGAAATAATACAAAAATAATACTTATATGGCATTGGAAGACCAAAGCATTAACGTGGTTCAGATTACTACTGCATTGGACTGACTTGAACCCACAATATAGCGTGTCCCAAAATAATGTTCACATTTTTTGACGCTAACAACAAGCACTCTAATAAGATCAAGAACGAACTTTTTTGGGGGGAGGTGGAGATGTTTCCATATGCTAAAGTTATACATGCTCAAAATGGTTACCTTGTCAGCATAAGGATAATTCTAAACGCTGTAGAATAAACTGGTAATGTCATCAGCTATGATTTTCACGGCAGTAGAAACACAGATAGTTATAATGTTCACATTTTTTGAACGTTAATAGCAAACGCTCTAATAAGAGTAAGAATGAGCTGCTTTTCGGGGAGGGAGGTGTTTCCATTATGCTAAAGTTATATATGCTCAAATTATTACCTTGTCCAAAAAAAAAAACTGGCAGTGCCATCGGATAAACGCAGTAAGTGTTCCGCAGTCCTATTTAAAAAAAAAAAAAAAAAAAAAAAACCACGCTCAATAGCCTTTACAAAATCACAGAAAAGATGGAAAAGGGAAAGCACAGGGAGGAGAACCTACAAGTTCTTTCCGAAAGTCACGTGCTCAGTTAACATATACAGCGGAGCACAAACTCAATTCTACACTGGCCCCATGGTCCCTTCCCACATATCTTAAGAGATTCGGCATACGAGCATCAGATTTTGTGTGAATGTGGTGCGGTAGTGATGCAGATCACTTCCTCTTCAAACTGCCCACAAACCGATAAACTGCATTTAAAATGCCAAGCATGAATACTGGCCGCAATGGCGGAGAATCCCGCGGCAACAAGCAGACGAAACTAAAATAGAGGAGGTAATCAGCTATGCTCAGCAATATACTAAGAAATTCTCCCCCCTCCCTTGAGAATTGTATCTTCGCGGCATAATTTTAATAGCAATTCAAAATACTACAATAGCTAATATCAACACTAGAAAAGAGCTCACCCCGTAGAATAATAACAGGACTGTAAGAGCAAATTATTGTAATGTAGCTATTACTATCCAGTTTTGTATGTACTTGATAAAAATAATATTGTAAAGCAGTTTAAATGATACTGAAATCAGTCAATGTGTAAATGAATTACAAGTTTAATTTGATTATCTCAGTAAAAGTATTGTAAATATGAATCCATATAATGTTTAAAAGTACACATAGCTGTCATGATTTTATGTATCTATCATACGTAATTTGTACAAGACAATGATTTTAATCAACATATATATGCTTATGCACAGGCCTTGTATGCCCATGTAATATTTATATGTATATTTTTACACGGAGGAAATTTTCCCTTCTGCCAGGATAGGCGGTGCTCAATGTCATCGGATATGATTTTCACCGCAGTAGAAACATAGATAGCTGTAATGTTCACAGTTTTTGAACGTTAATAGCAAATCTGTAATAACAGCAAGAATGAACTTTTATCGAAAAGAGAAGGGAAGTGTTTTAATTATGTTAAAGTTATATATGCTAAAAAAGGTTACCTTGTCAGCAAGAAAAAGTTCTAAACGCAGTAGAATAAATTGACAGTGACATCGGATATGATTTTCACGGCAGTAGAAACACAGATATTATAGTCGCATGTCTGTTGTCATCCAGTGCCCACCGTCATTTCTCTGAGATCCTGTGAAAGTCTGTAAAACGGTTTCCACAGTTCTTTCGCTCGTTACTGTCCTCTTCCTGCCGAGCAATCCTTTTTGCACATCGCACACAGTTCTTTCTGGATCAAAGTTGACGTATATTCTTACGGTCGTTATGGTGGAGAAGAATCAAATCTTATTCTGCAACGTCTTGCCATCTCATACACATTCTCAGTTTAACACTTTAAAATCCACTTACGTTGATCGAACGAAGAATATAACTTCTGCCGCTTAGTGTACCCCAGGGTTTCCAAAGGGGTCGATATTGATCGTCTGGGATTCGATGAAATTTGAAAGGGGGTTAGTAATGAATGATCAATGAACTGATTGGAGTTCGATAGCCGAATATGCACCGATAGTTAATTGGCATAATCAACATCCCATTCATTGCACAAAAATTTTATAATAAAACTGATAATTAATTATTTATCGATGCAAAGTTATATCATGTAATAGAAAGGAAGAAAACATATAAAATAAATATATGGGAAAAATAACATTAAAATCCTTTCATTTATTTGTAAAGTATTTATTTATTTTATTTAACCAGTTATTTTATGTTACGTTCCTTTATAGTCATTCTTCCTTTTCTTTTTATTGCCAAAATGAAAATTTTAGTTTGCACGTATTCAATTAATGTAAAAAGACTACTCTACGAATTAATATTTAAAGGGAGTAGTATTTTAAGACACAGTATTTGTGCCATATGATAATAATGTGCTTTCGTAATGCCCTTGTACTACTTGCCATAAATTCATGCTTATATTTTTGATAACGTGTCTAACCTTTTCTTAAATTCGGTTAAAGTGTGTGTGTGAAGGGGAAAAACTAATCATTCATGTATTAAAAGATAATTTTGCCTACAAAATAGTTATAATTTATTATTATTATTATTTTGCTCAATTACTTGAAATTTTCAAACCTGATTTTATAACAAATTCAGTCTCTCATAGTGAAAGCAATACCTTTCTTAGTCCCAATCGGGACTGTGAGGGATATTGCTTTATGTTTATACCATAAAGTGTAACATTTCTCTTCGTTCGAATTGTGGTATTTTCAACCGAAGAGTTTTGACAAAGCGAAAAAACGCATCACATACCAGCAGTTATCTTCTTTTTCGAGGCAGTTAGTGGCACAAGCTTCCTCCGTGGTCACACCTTCAACTTCTTGTGTTCCAGTAATTACTTTGTCGTCTTCAGGATAATGTAGTCGACTAAAAATGAAAGAAAAACTTCAGGCAAATGCAAAAATAGGATATTAATTTGTATAATGCGCATGGATAGTCTTTCTCCTTAGGTTGTAGGGGCCGTTTCACTTTCTGGAGCAGTAAACTTGGAAAATCAACTATTCTCCGTAGGGATTCGAACCATGGATCTTTCAACTGCTAACAGAACATGCTAACCACTTACAGCACGAAAGCATGCGCAAAGAATTTGAATTAGGAGAAAAAGTAAAGCTTCAACGACACAGCCACATAAAAAAATTGAGTTGAAAATGTGTAAGGGCGTCGACAAACTTTACAGGAGTCAAAAGCAGGCCTTTGAAATTCCTCTATGAATGCGATCGAAAACCGCCAGCTGCATCTGAGAAACTGTACCGAGTGCTATATTGAATGATTTGAAAAACGTGAATTCTTTACATAAAACCTTTAATTTTTATTTCTTTAGTATTAGAAATATCTTTTAATCTCGTTAAAAATCTATTTCATGACATGAGAAGGTAATAAAAAAATCGTATGTAATGAATGATTGAATGGTAACCCTCATTGGGATATAATTTTTTTTAAAACTATAACCCAGACTTTTCAAGAAATCAGAAACATTTGAAAGCATATCAGTATGTAGTTTTCTTACGCAATCGCAATGCGTAACGGAACTTCACCAAATCCATCAATTTTTAACATAATAACAATGATAGCCACGAAAAGGGTGATTCTAAAAACCTCCTCTTGACAAGAACAAAATAACATCTAACAGAATTCCAAATTCTAACATCTAACAGGAATTCCAAATTTAATCCTATCTCAAAATCTAAATCTTATTCCAAAACAGTTAAAGATACTAAACCTGTAAGGATCCTATGTTTTACTAACGTCTATTTTATTTTAAATCTTTACTATCACTTCTTCTTTTTCTACTTCCGGCCAGATTAAAAGCTTTAAACTTATTTATGCAAATTTGTCTTGCTAACGTCAAGTACTTTAAGTTGTGCTTTTTGCCAAGCAAGAGAGAGGAAGGAGTATTAGAAGCAGGCCGCTTGCCATAGTAGTTTTACTCGTTGCTGGCCTCAAGGCCAGAGGTTTAATCCTCTGATAATTTTAAAATGTAGTTTTAGCAGCTCTTTGTACTACATACGGATTTTGTTAAATAACGGCCGATCTTGAAGTTAGGCACTTGTATATTAATCAAAGTTAGTTTTGTTAGAGTTTTTAGTTAGTATTTTTTTTTTTTTATTCTTCGTTCAGACCACAAGTGGTTGGTCTCTGTATTCCGAAGTTTCGGAAATCGCTGTAAAGATAGAAAAATAAAGGGTTTCGTATACCCTTCCTGTGTGTATTGTCTACTTCACAATTTATTGAACATAGCTTTAGTAAGCTCCCTGTTCCGAGTCAGGACAGTTCATATTTCCAAAGCAAGTAAAGAGGAACACAAGTCCTGATAAACCCAATAAAAATTTTATCGAATTCTTTTGCACAATGAGGAAGCTGGAAAACATCTTCAGAAGTACTAAATTATCCTAATTAACATTACTTATTGCAAAAAGACATATGTAGAATTACAACTTGCTGCAGTTCTATATACGTCTTAGTTTTATTGCCACCTCGACGCTCTGCCAGCTGAAGAGCTAGGACCCCTCTCCATCCCCATTCACCTAAAACCAAGCTGTCAAGGACGTGGCCAGTATTTTGGAGGGTGACCCCTGGGATCGCTTACTAAGACATTCGCTTCTTGCAACGGTCCGCAATGGTTTTTATTTTTTAATAATAATAAATGTTACATCTATGAATTTATATAAGGAAATGCATTACCACATTAAATTAGTTAAAATTAAAACATACTTTAATAATATTACATCAGAAATATTAATACACTGCCTTCCAAAAGTTAAGGAACAGCATGTTTTTTGTGTCTAAGTTGAGAATGAAGCAACATAGAAACGAGAAATTTAGAGGTATTTTCACTAACCTGTATTGTTCACTAAACAGTTCTTTAATGAATGCGATATAGAATGTTTCTATAGTTTAATACAAACATGAATTACAACAAAAAATTGCACTCTTGGTAGAGAAATCCAGTCTTGAAGAAACAGTATATCACAGTTTTTTGAGGAAAAATGGGGTAGTGACATTACAAAAATGGGTTCTAATAAGGAATGTGCCCACCTCTAGCTGCAATACATTGGCAGCAGCGACGTTCCATGCTATCAATTAAAGTGTCGGTCAGTGAAATGGAAAGCAATGACCAGACACGGAGTAAGCCTTGTTCAAGCTTATCTAACGACATTGGAGAAGGACTTGGAGCAGCAATCTGTCTCTAAAGATGATCTATTGGATTCAGGTTTGGGGGATTGAGCTGGCCATTCCAGCCGCTTCATACCGTGACTCTCAAGATATTCTTCAGCAACCCGAGTTCGGTGCGGTCGCTCATTATCGTCCAACAGAAAAAAATCCAGGATCAATAGCAGTGGCATATAGGCGGACGTATTTATCAAGAATCTCGTCTCGATATCTCACACCGGCCAAAGTTCCTCCATGGAACACATGCAGGCCAGTGTGACCACCGAGAGAGATCCCAGCCCAAACCATTATTCCACCCCCTCTGTAACTGTGCTTTTCCACAATGTGGGATTGGTTGTATCTGGTGCGTTGTTCCTTCCAGATCAGCTGACGACCTGAATTACTCCAGTGTTTACCTGTACTCGTCTGTAAAGAAAACAGATGTCTATTGTTGACTGGTCCAGGAGACATGTTCTCCTGCCCAACACTAGGCGCCTCTGTGTCCTTGGGTCAAGGGGACGCAAACAACAGGTCGTCTTGCATACATATTGAAGACTTGTATTGTACAGGCGTCTGCGCACTGTAATAGTTAAGATTCTTGTTCCTTTTGCCACTAAATGATCTGTCATGAGCTAAGGCATAGTAATGTTACTCCTCCTTCGGGCCGAAAGAGCTAAATATTCTTCTGCAGGTGTTGTAACTCTAGGTCACAGAATCTTCGCTTTCAAAATGATTCCATAGTCGGTGGACCATACTAGGAGAGACATTGAGACGTCTAGCAGCATCAGCTTGTGACATCCCCATTTCCATTCATCCGATCGTCCGCCACCTCAACAAATCGAGCAAACGACTTCTAGACATTGATAGACTCTCTTGGATATTGTCAACGAAATTGGTAATAAAAACTGAAAACCAACACACGTGAACAAACCTAAAAGTTTTGTATTTTTTCTCTAACTACTATATAAATATTCATTTCTATAAAATAAAGCAGGTAGCTATTCTTTTTGTATATATAATATCTTCAACTTCGTTACTATCATGCATATAAACTGTGAATTTAAATGTTACTGACATTTTTGTAATGGTGAGCTTTGGAAAACATGCTGTTCCTGAACTTTTGGAGAGCATTTTTTATCATTTATCAAATACTTAAGTATGAAAATGAGTAATTGTAAAACAAAAAAAAAATTTCTGTGAAATTAAACAAATCGCGTTCAAAGCACACTGCAGGATAAAAATTTTGAGTGTAAATAACAGCAAAAACTAATTCTCAGATAGAAGATTTATCCTTCGTAATGCTTCGGTTTATGCTTCGTACTTGAAATGCTTTCAGTTCACTAGCATTTCAAGTAGAATGAATATAGCTAGCACTCAGCGCGCTACATAAAAGCTACATTAATTGATGGATTAAGGATTAGTTAGTTTACGGTTAAGTCACGGCATTCGAGATAAAGGGCCACCCAGCTCTCTCGTAAGGTCGCGGTTAAGCTATCTCGCTAAGGAGAGGGATGTCTTCGTGGTGAGCTTCTGAAGAAAAACTATTCATATTCGCCCTACATACGAGATAAAAACGTAGACTGCCAGTTTCGCTGTGATTTGAATCCGGTTCAAACTACCATTGCTCAAGAATTTTAAAGCTCAGCGGCTAGTGGGCTTCGTTAAATGTTGGAAAAGATCTTAAATTTTAGATATCATCTTAATTTTAGAGATACTGTTTAACAGCAAATTTCAATAAATCTCAGAAAATTAAAGAAGACACTTGACTATGCTTAAAATTATTCTGATCTGCCTTTATGCAACAACATTCCCTTCCAATAGTTTAGTACTAATAAACTTCGGAAATATTATAAATAAAATATACTTACGAAGAACTGGCGGCTTTCCAAGGATTAAAAGTGTTATGTAAAGACCATCATCCATGTCAACCTACAAAATAATTGCATTATTTAATAAAACTGTAGTCCTAATAGTACAACTGCAATTAAAAATAAATTACAAAAACTTAATTACTGTTTTAACCCTAAAACAAAATTATGTATTGCTCTTCTTGAAAATGATTTTGTAAACTATCCTTGCCTTACACTCGCATGTGCAATCTAGTATCTAACACGTGTTATCACTCAGCTTCTATGGTAAAATTAAAAGCATTTCTTCTTCATCATTACCTCGACAGCTCAGAGTGGGCCCTGGCCTTCTCCAGGCATCTCTGCTTTTGGCAACTGTTTTCCAGCTTTCGACTTTTAGAATGGTTAGGTCATTTTCAACCGAATCGATCCATCTCATCGGAGACCTACACCTAGGTCCGTTCCTATGACCTTTGTCAGAAAGAATTTCTTTACAACATCGAACTTCATGCCTTCTGTCCAGATGACCAGCCTATTTAATCCTCTGTAGTTTGAAGAATTTTACTACATCAGGTTGTCTATAGATCTTGTATAGCTTAAAATTAAATCTTCTACTCCAAGATCTATTCATGTGGACCCCATCAAGTATGCAACGCAATATCCTTTTCTCAAAAATCACCAAAGCTTCCTCATCACGGAAAGTCAGCGCGCAAGTTTCCAACGCGTCAACAAGTCAGAACAGATCTTATAAGATCCTTGTAAAGAACAAATTTAGTCTTTAGCTGCATGGTCATGAAAACATCTATTTGTAGCAGACGAAAAGTATTTATTTAATTTTATTTCAGTGTCAAATTTCTGAAAACATTTGAATGTCATTAGATAATTTTCTGTACAATTGTTGATCTTTTTTTGTTGAACTTCCTCAAGCAATATATGAGTGCAAGGCTGTCTATTATCTCTACGATAAGTAGATGATTTTCTGAACAAGTGCTGATCTATTTTGTTGAACTTCCTAAAACAACATATCAGTATGAGGTTGTCTATTATCTCAGCGTATGGTAATTAGATAATTTTCTCAGCAAGTGCTAATCCTTCTTGCTGAACTTCCTCAAGCAACGTATCAGTTCAAGGCTGTCTGTTATCTTAAAGTACGATAATTGAATAATTTTCAGGAAAACTGTTATCTTCCTTGCAGAATATTTTCAAACAACGTATCAAGGCAAGACTGTCTTCTACGTAATTTTTTTTTATCTTTTAAAAAACCCTTACAAAATGTGAAGCCATATAATAATGTGAGACCGTTTTACATTGGGCCAAAATGATTAGAATTAATTTTGAAGCATTAGTTTTGAACATCGTTTTTCCAAAAAGATAAATTAAACAGAAGAAGAATTTCCAATGTAAGAAATTTTATAATTTTTACTTACCAGTATTATTGGCATTCTTACAGCATTAATCTCTGACTGAAGAGAAAGCGCGTTCAAGATATTAGACCGGATACTTGGACCATCTTCATTGATATTCTGCAGCACATCTTTATCTACGAAATATATAATATGCAATGCATAATTAAGAGAAACTGACCTTTTTCTTAAAATATTAAATAACTGGTACGATTTTATTTTGAGCTAAAATATGCTTATTTTGACTATGATATTTCTTTTCCATTTGCCAGTTGAAAATGAAGCTGATTGGTGAAAATAATTTAACTTAACTTTAAAGGTTAAATTATTTAAATTATTTACAAAATTATTATATAATCGTCAAAATTATTTAACCTTTTGTTTTAAGATAAAGTTCAATGGTAATTGAATGACTAAAACAACAGCATCAATATCATAAATATATACGATTACTTGCAATAATTACAGCTGTGATACTATGTTTCAGTGTTCGAAATTTTAGATATATTTCCATTTCTTATTTTATGTAATAATAGTACCTACACTCAAAGATGTAGTTTTTCAAATTTTAATGAAGCTTGATTAAATGGAACATATTCTCCCATTCTATTTTGGTTCAATGCCCCTTTACAAAGTTTGGTTTGTTCAGCGCGCTCTCTACCCTTCCAACACAAGGCACGCTAGATGTATTTTGAATGCAATGTGAAAGTACTTATCCGAAGATGCATACAAACTTTTGGATATTTGTTTCACTTGCACTGCATCAAATTACTAATAAAAACTCATCTCTCAGAACGAAAATAGAAAAGTAAATTTTCAAACCTTTTATAATTGACCTGCAAAATGTATACAGATACTTGCCACATTACGCGCTGTAGAACATTTCAGGAGAGTATATTAATTTGAGAGCTCTAGATGTCACTGCAAATATGGATTTGGAATTATATTTTTTAGAATAGTAAATGAATGGTTTCTAAATCCGGATCCCTTGGAACAGAAAAATGGATTAAATGCATAGAAGTTGATGACACTTGTATGCACCAACAAACTTACCTTTCATACGGTGCAACTTGCACCAAACTTGTATGAAAGGTAGATTGACATACCTTATTATGGTCCTTTCGTAAACGCTTGATTATATTAATATTTGTATGATGAAGTGAATGTTTAAATGCTTGTTTCAAAAATATCTAATCAATCAAATTTTCCAAGCGTTTTTATGGTCCACTTGATTCTCAACGCGTCCTTCCCTTCGTACAAGTGGCCCACCAGCGGCCGAGCGGTAAAGACGCTGAACACTGGTAGTTCGGTCTGAGGTTCGAATCCCGCGAACGGGGCTGGCTGCATGGGCGTTTTCGTGGTTTTCCCCATGTGTAACGTGTATACGAGCCAGTTTCCCTTAGAAAGTCCTCCACGAAAGGCATCCCTCCCTTTAGGCAGATAGCCCTCGTGTGCTTTGCCATAATTAAATACATCATCAACCCTTCGTACAAGTAACGCTCACACAGATCTCCTCAGCACCTACTAGTCGCTCTCTAACAGCCTGAAAATCCGTTTATTCTCACGCAATATACTTCTGTTATGCACATGGAAGACTTACTGAGACTTTACACACACATGTACTCGTGTTGTGTACGAGGTTGCAGCCGTTAAACAGAGGCAGTATTCGGCGTTACAGCCGTTTAACCGAGGTAGTACTTGATGTTGCAGCCGTTAAACCGAGGTAGCACTCGGTATTGCAGTCGTTAAACCGAGGTAGTACTCGGTGTTGCAACTGTTAAACCGAGGTATCACTCGGTGTTGCAGCCGAGGTTGCAGCCATTAGAGGCACTCGGTCCCAGGCAGTCGAGATTTCACCATTAAAGCTCAAACATGAGCTGTTAAAGATCTTTTATGCTGGGAGTGTATCTGAATTAAAGGGGTTGGTTCCCTGTGTCGATTAGCTCCGCTACAGGCGAAGTTCAGATTTTTCAACTGAAGAAAAACTGATATCCTGGAGCAGTATAAGTTGTGCCAGATGGCTCCGTTAGCTCAGGTAAATCCATAAAGTCCTTTACTTCCATGCTGGGAAATTGCGCTGGTTATCATTAATTTAAAAAAAAATCACAAAAATGACGAATGCTCAAAAAGTTACATGTAGAATTTAAATGAAACTGACCCACAGTATACAACACATACTAACGTATAAAATAATACGAAAAGAAATTGCAGACATTTATGGCGTTATAGAAGCTAGCATATGTATATAATGAACAAATCGGACGTGTCAGTTTGGTATAGGAAAATTACCTTCAGTATTGAGTATGATCTTCCCTGGAAACAATACAACACATACAGCGATGTGCGATGCTATCAAGTATGCATTTTCTCTGCTATGTAGGAAGTGAGAGTCATTGCTCTTGTAAAGCAGTTGCAAGTGTGGCAGTGGTCTTAAAAGGAGGTCTGAGAGCAGATATATGTCCGTCTAAAGCATCTCAAACATGCTCGAAAGGATTCAGGTCCGGTGATCGAGCTGACAACTCCAAATTGTTTGCTGCTGAAGATAATAATCCACCATCCGAGCCCTGTACGGTCTAGTGTAGTCGTCCTGTAGCAGGAAATTATCAGCTATTGCCCCACAAGTGTGCACACATAAGCATCAAGAATGTCATCTCTATAGGTCTGAGCATTCACGGCTCCACGTTTAAAAACTGTGCGTCCACCCAAAGACATACCACTCCAAAAACAGACACTACTTCCTCCGTATGCGCCTTTTTCGTGGATGTTTGATGAATGATAACGAGTTCCAGGTTCTCTCCAAATCAAATAACGCCTATATCGCTTTGGAAGCTAAACCTGGACTCATCCGTAAAGATAACAGCCCTCCATTGATCAGCTATCTAGTGGACATGTTGACATGCCCACCTCAAACGTTCCATTCTATGGCATGACGTGAGCGGCACGCAAATGGCTGGTTGCTTGGCCTAAAGACCTTTTTGTGAAGTTGGTTGACGTTGACACCAATCTTTCAGAGGCCTGCAGCAAGGGATGATCTGAGTTGAGTCGGAGTTGAGGTTCTGTTTCTTCGTCCGCATAACAACAAATGTCAGTCACCAGCACTCGTCGTAGCGGTTGGCCATCCTTGCCTGAACCTCCTGGATGTCAAATCTGTAGTTAGAAATTGTTGCCAAGGTTTATGAATCACAGAAGGACTCACATTTATCCATCTGGCTACGTCTATCTGAATTTGTTCTGCCTCTAGTCTACCAGTAGCTCTCCATCGCATTTCTTCGGCCAGATGATGCCTGGAGGTCATTATTACAAATTGGCTATCCCATAATTCTTATCTCAGAATCACAGCGAAATTTGCAGGCTTACTCTGAAACATGCAATTGTATGCTCCTCGTAGATGACGTATTTCGATTGCAGTGCCACTAATTTGCATACTGCAGTTTTACTCAGCATTTCTTATCTGATAACATATTCAAATTTTATACAGATTGGCTTATTTTTGAACGAGTTATCGCTAATTTGGGGATTTTTTTCCTTTATATTTGGAAACCAATTTCTTTAAAAAATTTAATTTTCAACAAATAACAAAATCTAACTTTTAATACGGCCTCCCGGTTCCCATACTTATATTTGGGAAAGTTTTATAATCGTTATGAAAAAAATTAAAATACAAGAAGTACTCCCGTACGACAAAAATTGATCGGTATACTTAATTTCAAAATTTGCAATTTTTTTATGTCATTTTCAACTTTCTTGAGAGATCGGTTAACTTAGAATAATTTGAGAAAATAAATTTAAATCAAGTGCAGCAAAAAATGTGTATAATTTAATAGGCCGTCCACACCAATTTGTTTTAATTGCACCTAAGTTAACCATGATTTTGAGTTAACTGCGGATATCTTTTTCAGTATTATATCCATTAGTTAGGAGATGACTATGTAACAAATGTTTGCTAAGAAGTTAACATGTTATAAGGCTGATCGCATATTTTCGTAGAGTAAGTATATTGAATCAACTTCATAAAAGAGAAATGAGAAGAAATAAATAAAACATCATCTTATAAAACCAGCAACAGTATTTTATCTTAAAAATTCCATCTTAATGAAAATGAGTTTTACAAATGTTAGAAATATGGACTTTAATTACTTGAAAAATAAAATATTACAATTTACCTGCATTGAAGCCTAGGGTAACCCAGACGTAGTCATCATCATTTTTGTAGCACTGCTGAATGTTGAATACTCTCCTACGAGCTCTGATCTGTGTACTGAATCCAAAGAAGTTGAAAGTCAATACTTCCACATTCTGTGACAAAAAAAAAAGGAAAGAAAATAACTCATCCAGTCTTAACTTGAATAAATAATTAGCACGCGAAGTTGTTGAAGGCGCCGTCTACTATTTCAGATATAGAGGAGAGGGAAGAAATAATAGCATTTACATATTAAACACAACTACCTTGGCGCAATTTGGCAACTTTTTAAGGAAGAAAAACTATGATGACATATTCATTTATGTCATCACACTTATCATATTTTCATTTTTATATTTGATTTCACTTTCTTTCATTCCATTTGGTAACAGTTACATATCGGCTGCAAGCTGACGAGCTTGGCAACGTTTTTAGAAAGATCGACTAGCCATCGATATTTATCGTTAAGTCAACAAGCATTATTAGCACAAGAAAACGCACTTTAGCAATTCGAAATGCATATTTAATTATTAAATAAAGTTCCGTTGTGTACATGGGTTCTCCCCATGTACACAACGATCTGTTCCGATCTGTTCAACGATCTGATCACGATGATCCAAGAATGGTTAAACACTGGAATATACAAACGCATACAAAAATGATGAAGAATCTTATGCGCATTATTGTGAGAGTTTGGCACATTCTCAAAATTTGGCGATTTCTACTAAGTTGGTTGCGATAATGCGTAAGTACCAATGCTTTAGGATTGGCAGTTAGTTTCTGAACGGAGAGTCCGCATTAATTATGAACTTTAAATAACATAAATAAAAGACAGGCAGAAAGAAAGATAACTGTTTTGGAAGCTAAAAACAAAATTAACTTAAATTTGGACAATACGGAATTTAAGATTTGAGGGCAGCCGCAAATCTGGAGCTGTACTCCTTTGCTCAGTGGGCTTAGGTGATAATCAGGAACTACAAAAGAGGAACATTTATTTAAAACAAGAAAACTTTTGCGAGAACTTCAGTCTCTTGTCTAAACAGTCTAAACATTTGTTTAGACTGCAATCACTTTCACTAAAGTATAGTCATAAAAATTATGAAAAAACCTTAAAAGTTCTTGAAAATAAAAAGAGATTTGATAAGCATGAAAAACCCAAATCGATGAAATGATGACGTGTATAGCGTAAGAGTTTTGCGTGAGGTACGCTCAAAACATTTTAATCCCAGCAGAGCTGTTGATAAATTCTTTAAAAGCTTTGGTGGCCAAGTGGCTGCTGTTTCTTTACTTCATGAGGAAATGGATAGTCAAATGTTATCTTCAATAGCTCCCAAGTTACCATTCAAATACATTCTTCTGTACTTCTTGAATCTAAAAAAATTGTTTACGATCACTAGATGATTCAGGACTATCTTTGCGCAGTAAGCATTACTTTACAATGTAGAGAGTCAATAGAGCTTAAATCGTGCCACAGCCCACTGAAGCTCGGCTCCGGCACTTCTCAGTTTCTGACGTAAATCGTAATTCTAGTCTCAACGCACCACTGCCCTAAATAAAAAGGGCTCCAGTGCATCTTTTATGCAAGTGAAATACAGTTTCAGCAGACAATTTTATTTTAAAAATAAACATGCCTTAAAAATCGATTATAACTTCTGAATGCAGGTTTGTCTTTTTCTAGAGAGCAAAAGCTTTGTCGGGGGTTAAGATTTTTAAGGAAAGAAAAGCCTCCACACAGATGTCAAAGCTTATTCTCTACCTAGTACAATGAATTTATGAAAACGTTAAAATCTTTTTCCTCGAAAGTACTAAAAGTAATTACCTCGGTTGTGTACGTCCGGTGTATTTCTAGCCGTGGATTTCGATTCAGAAAGGAAAAAAATTAATTTTTAGCCACGTCCAACGCTAATGACCTCTCATTTCAGAGCCCCTGCAGACTTTAACTATATAACCAAACATTTTTATCTCCAGCGGGCAAAACTATGTATCGGAAATTCTAAAGATATACTCATTTTAAAATTATTTTGCGATGTTGCTGTTGAATTGAATTTTATGGTTTAAATGCAAAGAACATGATATTTAATAAAAAAGGGCACACAAACGTTAAAAAAACTCCTTTGGGCGTAATGTAAAATCTGAAGCTTTCAGATGGTATTAGTTTTTATTGTAGTTTTTTAATTGTTTTAATTATTAGTTATTTTATTATTTTAATAGTTATTTTTATTTTTTCCTTTCTTCCTGTCGGCCTTTCATATGGCTCTGCCATTTCTTATATTAAATATTACATCGATGCTGGAATGCGAAATCTGTGCAACGCCCTTGTCGGAATTCGAACTCCGGACCTCCCGAATTTGCATCAAGTGTGCTTCCAGTTAGGCCATGAAGAAAAGAAGGAAGAAAGGAGAAGGAGGGAGAAAATAGCTTATAAAAATAAATCCCCAAACCACTGCGACAGTACTGAACACGACATGGCAGATGGGTTGGCACAGGTTGAAGCTGGACTATGTTGTCCATCATTAGACTATGTTGTCTATCAGAAGACAATGTTGTCCAGTATTAGTATATCGGCCAACTTTTTTGAAGGACTGGCGGAAAGAAGTCAGAAATGTCGTGAGGAAAAGTTCTGAAGACTCGGCATAACACTCTTAGAAATGTGAACTTGGCGAATTTTCATCTCAGAATCTTGTTTTCAGTTCTCTCTTGCTCTTGCAAACTCTCTCTTGCAAACTACTAGCAAAAAGATCTTTATGGGTTGGGTCTGGCGGACACGTCAGTGTGCCCATTGTCTGGCCAGGCTGACATAGGTAAAGGGTAAAGGTAAAAGTATGGGGGACACCAGCGATGTACCATAAGTCAACTGGTAATGCCTTCCCATACTAACTCTTAAAAAAAAAGGGGGAATTGCAAGTGTTATAGGAATTAACATAGACTGAAGCTTTCCAAAAGGTCTAGAGTTTGTCTATTATGGTACATCGTGCAATCCCATAGTACGCCCCGCATCCAGTATTTATTAAAAATAATGATGTAGGGCATTAGTAGATTACAAAATAGTCGGAATACAATTTGAGATTCACAAGATAAATTGAACATATGCTTTGGTGCAATTTATCTTGTCAATCTCAAATTGTGTTCCGACTATTTTGTAATCTGAGGTTCACAAGATAAATTGCACCAAATCAGATGTTCAATTTATCTTGTAAATCTCAAATTGTATTCCAACTAATTTGTAATCTACTTATGTTCTCCTGGCCCTTTTCTTAATGGCGTTGCAGATAGTTATTCCGTGCAGAATGTTAATATTTTGCTTGTTTCTAAACTTTACTGGGTTGCCTTAACGATTAATGGCCTAGGACTGATGGCTGAAAAGCCGAGGTCCGTCATAAGATAAAAAATAATATAGAGAAAACTAAAAAACTGCTCGCTTCCCTTACATATTTTGGATACTCAAATGTATTGTCATGGCAAAAACTATAATACCTGCTTTTCTTGTTTTTAAAGGCCATTCAGACATATTCATAAGTAATCACCGGAGAATTTATATTATTCATAAAGAAAATATTCGAGTTTTGCAGTATCACGTAACGTAATTGCATGTGTAGGTTTTAAATACTATAAGGGCACCATCATATCTAGAAAATTAAAATCTTATAGTTTTACAACATTATTCAATTGAAATTAATAATATAAGATTTAATTGTTTGAATACCTTTCCTTCTCTTCCTCTAAACAATCTGGATTTGAGTAAGGGCATTCTTCACTGAATCTTTATTCCTTTCGACTTCAGTATCCTAAATCAAAAACAGTAACATTCGTTATACTTATGCACACACACACCGTACATGTATAATCTATATATAAGAGAGAGAGAGAGAGAGATACGTATGTATATATGCACAGAGATAATTCAGAGATAAATGAAAGAAAAGCACAGATAAGAGAAATTTCCGACTATATCACCTAATGCTAGAAATGAAGATGACCTAATGAGGGAAGTGTTAAGGTCACTAATTCTACCTGTAAACTAGAAGTTAAATTTTTTAAACCTGAGATATAAACCAAAATTTTGTTATGAAACAAAAATGTAAGATGTGGGGCAAACAATTAAATGAAAGAATGATAAAAAATAAAGGAATAGTAATAAACTATTAATCATTATTTGTTTTACTGTTTCAAACAGAACCTTTCGAGGGGTAAGTGTTTAAAACACTAAACCGGGACGATTAATGAGTGTCGAATAACATGTTTCGTTCTTCTTGACATTATATAACTCGAACTGTTGTAAACTGATTTTCTTGTCATGTGTATGTGCGTGGGTACGATATAAAAATATGACATAAATTTAATAACAAATTAAACTTAACTGGAACAAATTGGCAAGAGTCCTCTAAAGTCCTAATTTTAATCCTAATACCTTCAGCGCATCTGTACTCTGTCACTCTT